CCGCGCAGCAGCAAGGGTGGGCGCGGGGGTGGACGTGGCGGTAGTCGCAGCGGAGCTGTGGGTCGTGGTGGTTCTGGGCGTGGTCGTGCAGGCCGTGGTGCAGCAGTGGCCTTCCCTCCTTGCCAGTATCTCCCTCGCTATGGCCCTACTCGGGGTCAGCGCTGCGGCCAGACCACTCATTCCACTGAGACGTGCTTCAAGGCACTCAGTGATGAGTGGTTTGCCCGTGGCAATTCCGGCACTCCTCCTCGCTGGTCCTCCCTCACTCCCCGCCCCACTCCCCAGGAGGTGCGTACCAGTCCCCTCTTCCAGCCCTATTCCTCCGCCCAGGCTAACCAGGCCTTCGCCTCTCCCCTCCTTCAGCAGCCGTAGCAGCAGCAGTCAGGGGTGCAGCAGCAGCAGCAGCAGCAAGGGGTGCATCAGCAGCATCTTCTCTCTCAACTGCGGCAGCAGGTTCAGCAGCTCCAGCAGCAGTTTCACCTCTAGTCGTAGCTGCCACTAGCTCCTCCTCCCATGGTATCTCACCAGCAGTACTTCCCCGCTTGGACTGCAGGGAGTGCTGCCTCAGCCGGGCATCTCTCCGGTGCCTCCCCCGCGCCCTCTGCTGCTGGCAGTGTGACCACCCCCTTCCCTTCTCCTGGCTTTGTTGGCATGCTTAGTCAGGCTGACCCTCCTGCTCCTTCCATGTATTCCACTGCTATTAATGAGAATGTGTTTGAGTACTCCGTCCCCCCACCTCCTCCCTCCCCTCTACCTCCCTCCACCCTAGAGTTCGTCCTTGACAGTGGAGCCACTGAGACAGTCCTCCGCGACACTGGTACTCTTAATCCCCTTCCCGTTCCAACTTCCCTCCTTGGTGCTGACACCAGTTTCTCTATCTCCTGCCGGCACACCTCCACCCTCCCCTGTCCCCTCTTCCCCTCAGGTACCGTCACTGGCCTTCACATCCCTTCTCTTCGTACTAACCTCCTTTCCCAAAGATCCCTGCAGCTAGCTGGTATCTCTACAGTCTTCCCAGGTCGCGCAAACCATTGCCTCCTGTATCACCCCACTGGTCATATCCTCTCCCGCATTCCCTTTTGCCCTCGCTCACGCCTGTATACCCTCAAGGTCCCCCCCCTCCACTCAGCCCACGCAGTTTCCCGCTCCCTTCCCCCCTTTCACAACCTCCCCCCCTCCCCTCCCCCTTACGAACCCAAGCATTCCCCCCTTCCCCCTGAGTCTACCCGTTCCTGTCGGTCTCTCCCATCCCACCGTCCTCCTCCACCACAGGCTTGGTCATCCAAACTTTGCCACCCTCCGCTCCACCGTCGCCTCAGGTCTCCTTCGAGGTCTCCCTCTCACCCTTCCCTCCCTCCCTCCCTCCCCTGCTCCTCCTTGCTCCATCTGTGTCCAGAGCAAGCTCAAGCAGCTCCCCCATCGGAGTTCCCCCTCCGCTACTGCTAAGCCGCTTGACCTTGTTCACATGGACCTCTGGGGCCCCAACCCCTCCCCCTCCCACCAGGGCCATTGCTACATGCTCGTCCTGGTCAATGATCACAGCCGGTATTCCTCCGTCTCCCTCCTCCGCTCGAAGGGCGACGCTCCGGCTGCGATCATCGCCTGGCTCGAGCAGGCTAGCATTCACTTTAGCCGCCCTGTCCGCCGCCTTCACTCCGATGGCGGTGGCGAATTCCTTAACCGCCCGGTAGCCTCCTATTGTGAGTCCCATGGCATTCGCCAGACTCACACCCTTCCCCACTCCCCCAAGCAGAATGGCGTGGCTGAGAGTCGTGTTCGGGAGATCACCAAGATTGCTCGGTGCCTCCTCGTTCATGCCTCCTGCCCCCCTTCTTTGTGGGGCTATGCCCTCCTTCACGCCACCCTCCTCACTAACGTGTACCCTCACCCCATCCTCCCCTCCACCACTCCCACCGAGCTCTGGACGTCAGACAAGCCTGATGTCTCCTCCCTTCGTGTCTGGGGCTCCAAGGCGTATGGTCTCATTCACCCCTCGAATCGCCCCTGCGCAGTGGGCAAGCTCGCCTCCCGCACCCTCCCCTACATCTTCCTTGGTCATAACCCCTCCTCCCCTGACTACCTCTTCCTCCATCCTCCCTCAGATCGTTTCCTCCGCAGTCAGGATGTGGTCTTTGATGAGTCCACACCCTACTATTCCTCCCCTCCCGCCACTGACCCCCTCACTCCCGCTCCCAGGTCCCTTAAATGGTCTGACACTGCCCCCCCCCCTCTTCTCCCTCCCCTTCCCATTCTCCCCCCCGCCCCACCTCTGCCCCGCCCTGCCTCCTCAGCCCCCTGTGCTCCTCCTTCCTCAGGTGACATCTTTGATCCTGACCCTCTCTTCGCACCTGCCTCTCCTGCCCACTCCTCCCCCTCCGCCCCTTCCGCCCCTCCTCCCCCCTCCCCCACCCCCCCCCACCCCTTCCTCCCCTGCCTTCCGCTCGTTCCATCCTCACCCGGTATCCCCACACCAGGTCCCGTAATGCAGTCCTAGGTGCCCCCCCTCCTGTTACCCTGTCCTCCTCTACCTTGCCTCCTCTCTCCCCTCTCATCCGCCTCCTTTTCCAGACTGTCTTGCAACAAAACACCAGTCCCACCCTGACGCCGAGTTCCAGTGTCGCAGTCCCAGCAGCAGCAGCCCCATCTGCAGCCGCAGTTCTTCCTCCCACATCCTCACTTGCAGCGGCAGTAGCAGCACCATCGGCAGCAGCAGTCTCTCCTCCCTCATCCTCACCCGCAGCGGCAGCAGCAGCAGCAGCAGATGCAACAGCAGCAGCAGCAGCGGCCTCAGCAGCAGCAAATGCAACGGCGGCAGCAGCAGCAGTCGTTCTCGCCCTCATCTTCCACTCCTCCCTCCTTGAGGACTCTCATGAGGAGTTCCTCAACCTCCACCTCCATGATCCCTCCCTCCTTCCCATCTCCCCTGACCTCTCCGGCACACTTGTCTTCTCCTTCGCCTCTGCCCCCGCCATCTTCGTCCCTGGCACGTACGAAGAGGCGATGGCGTGCCGTGACGCCCACCTCGTGCTCGCGGCCATCCTCAAGGAATTGGAGGCCTTTATTGCCAACTCTTCCTTTGTGGACGTGCCCCATCCCCCCTCTACCACTAATGTGGTCAAAGGGAAGTGGGTGTTTCGGGTGAAGCAGCTGCCTGGCGAGCCGCCGGTCTACAAGGCCCGCTACGTCACCAAAGGCTTCACCCAGCGCTACGCCGCCAACTTTTCGACACCTTCTCTCCCACCGCCAAGCCTGCCACTATTCGTGCAGTGCTTGAACTCGCTGCCCGCCTCAACATGGAGATCCACTCCATGGATGTCTCCAATGCCTTCCTCCAGGGCATTCTTCGCGAGCTCATCTTCATGGAGCGTCCTGCGGGCTTCCACCTCCCCTTCCCTCCTGATTCCGTCTGGCAGCTGTGTTGCCCTGTTTACGGCCTCAAGTAGGCCCCCACAGAGTGGCATGCCAAGCTCGTTACCACCCTTGCTGAGCTGGGCTTCCGCACCTCCCGCGCCGATCCCAGCCTCTTCCTCTGCACCTCCCCCTCCCCCTTCTACATCCTCGTCTATGTAGACGATATGATCCTTGTCACTGCCGACTCTGCCGAGCTCGAGCGCGTCAAGCGCGAGCTCGGCAGTCGGCTCAAGTGCAAGGACCTGGGTGAGCTGCAGCATTACCTCGGCATGGAGATCACCCGTGACAGCGCAGCTCGCACCATCTCCCTCTCCCAGAGCCACTACCTGCAGCAGGTCCTGGAGCGGTTTGACATGGCCAGTGGCAGCCCTCAGCCCACTCCTCTTCGTGTTGGGCACCACCTCGCTCCTCCCACCTCCCCCTCCTCCTCCCCTCACCCCTATCCTGAGCTCATCGGCTCCCTCATGTACGCCATGGTCTCCACTTTCCCTGACCGGGCATACCCCATCAGCGTCTTGGCCCGCTTTGTTGGTACCGGCAAGCACAATGCCACACACTGGCAGGCGGCCAAACGCGTCCTCCGCTATCTCCGAGGGACCAAGGACTATGTCCTTACCCTTGGTGGACCCTCCCCTCCCCTCCTCACCGGCTACTCTGACTCCTCTTGGGCCGACTCTCGGCCCGACCGCCGCTCCTCCCAGGGCTATGGCCTTTCTCTCGGCAGCGGCCTCATCAGCTGGCGTTCCACCCGCTCCTCCGCCATCGCTCTCTCCTCCTGCGAAGTGGAGCTGTACGCCGCCACCATGGCCGCTCAGAAGGCCCGTTGGCTCTCTTTCCTTCTTGAGGAGCTTGGTGCCCCTCAGCGCTGTCCCACCATCTTGTGCGACAACGCCAGCACCATCCACCTCTCGAAGGATGCGATGTTCCACGGGCGCTCAAAGCACATAGAGCTTCGCTACTACTTCATTCGCGAGCTCGTTCAGGACGGCCACCTCCAGATGGGCAAGATTGCCTCTGCTGCCAATTTTGCCGATATCTTCACCAAGGCTCTCCCCCCCGCTCCCCACGCCTCCCTCCTCCGCCTCCTTGGCCTCACCCCTCCTGTCACCCCTTCCGTTTCTTGATTCATGGCTTCTAGTCTTATGCATGTTGGAGGGTTGTGTTGTAATATATTATTATATACAACATGCATGACTAGAATAGGAGGTGGGTGGCTGAAGTTATTGGGGGGTTCTTGGTTGGAATCACCAACCACAATTTGGTTGGTCAAGATTGGATTTGGCCTTAGTCCTTTGGTTGGCACTTTCCAACCGAATGGTCCCAAGGCTCCACCAATCAACAACCACCACACTTTGGGGTTGCTTCCCCTCCAAGCTACCTCTCCCATTGGCCACTATTGTAGCCAATAGGAGTGCCTTCCGTTCCAACCTTTCCTTGCTCCTTGGTTGTGCTATAGAGCCTCTTGGCTCCCTTTCTAGTTAACACTTTTCTCTCTAATGTTACTTCTCTCACTTACCTGCACACCACCTTACTCATCCGGTCCGCCACTTCCTCGCTGTTAATTGTATCATAGTCCTTTGTGCCTTGCTCATCATGCCGCGCTTGCCTTCCTCTACCCATCACCGTGGCCCCCCTTCCCCCCCTCCTCCTCCCCCCCCCTCCTCTCCTCCTCCTCCTCCTCCTCCTCCTCCTCCTCCTCCTCCTCCTCCTCCTCCTCCTCCTCCTCCTCCTCCTCCTCCTCCTCCTCCTCCTCCTCCTCCTCCTCCTCCTCCTCCTCCTCCTCCTCCTCCTCCTCCTCCTCCTCCTCCTCCTCCTCCTCCTCCTCCTCCTCCTCCTCCTCCTCCTCCTCCATGCATATGCCCCTGTGCAGAGTGCTGGCGAGCAACTCTCTGTCAGGAAAGCTGCCCGTGGGGCTGGGTGCACTCAGAAACCTCATGTTGCTGTAGGTGACAGTGAGGAACATCGGGACACATGTGGAGCACGGGGCATGGGGTGCACATGGACACATGGGTTGCAGCATAGAGGGATGTCCCCATCCTCCTCTCTGCATGTGCCTGGCATGGCCCCAGGGACCTCTCCTACAACAGCATCACAGGGCCCATCCCCAAAGCCTTCTCCGGCCTCAAGTCACTCATGGAGCTGTGAGCACCATGCCGTCACCGTGCCATCACCATGCCATCACCTCACCATGCCATCATCATCCCACCAGCATGCCTTTGCTATCACCATGCCATCACCATAGCATCACCTCACCATGCCATCTCTTTGACATCACCATGTCTCCACCTCCCCAACGTGCTGCCTCGAAAGCAATTCCGACTCCAATCCTGAACTGTCTCCAGCATCCGCTCCACACTGCCTCCCACCCACAGATCCACTCAGTTGCTGCCTGATTGCACGCACTGTTCAATATGCATGTCTGAAGCTGCTCTAGTTTGTGCCATGTGCTGCTGATACTGATGCTGCTGCTGCTTCACGTGTGTATGCACTGCTCGTTCTTGTCCCCCCTACAGGTCCCTCCACAACAACCACCTGACAGGGCCGTTGCCAAATCTAGCAGCTGCGACCACTCTAAACAGCCTGTGATTCTCCTCGCCAACCTGAACTGCCCTCCTCAGTCCCGACAGAGCTTGAGAAAGCAGCGCTTCCCATCCGGCCCATGTTGAGGCTTTCAAATTGAAGGTTCACCACACTGCCCGTATGCCAGTGGGCATGAGCAACGAGTCAAGTCAGCCCGGGAGGCTCTCTTGCGCGTGACTCGTCCTGCAAGCCAGGGCCGACTTTGATGAGTCGAACGGATTCGAAGCAACTCGACTCGTTTTCCAAAGCAGTGCCTACACGCGGGGCAGGCATGCCCAAGTAGCACCTCCCATGGGTCCCCAACAGCACTCGTTTTTACCCATCCCCCCCCCTCTTCCCCCCTCGAAACCAAGTCGCGCTGTGTGACTCGATGAGTCAAACATCAGACTCGACCTAGTCGGTGCCGACTTGCCGACTCCAAAATGACTCGGCGTTTTTTATCGTGACTCGGCCGGATTCGAATCGAATCAACGAGCCTTTCCCAGCGATTTGATTCGGAAAGAAACCAGGGTTTAAGGTTTAGGGTTTATGAAGGAACTAGCTTAGAAGAGAAAGGATTGAATCGAGTAGGGAGCCAAGAGGCTCTTTTGTACAAAACAAGGAGCAAGGAAGAGTTGGAAGGGAAGCTCTCCTATTGGCCATAAAGTTGACCAATGGGATGGGAGAGGTTGCTTGTAGGGCAAGCAACCACAAAGTGTGGTGCTCTCCGATTGGCCACAATGTGGACGAATGAGAGAGATTGCTTGGAAGGCAAGCAACCACAAATTGTGGTGCTTGGTGATTGGTTGGTTCCTAGGACCAAGGACCATTTGGTTGGAATAGTGCCAACCAAATGTCTAGGACCAAATCCAATCTTGACCAACCCAAATGTGGGGTTGGTCAACCCAACCAACAACCCCCCAATAATTATAATGACTACACCTCCTAATCTAGGCATGCATGTTGTGTAGATATATATTTTACAACAGTTTAAACCCTCCATGGAGTTGCAGCTTGAGGCATCCAAGCTTGCAGCTTGTCGTTGTACATTTGAATGTCCAACTGCTGCAGTGCCTAAGCGTGGCACAAGCGCTGCAGCTGGAGTGGAGCAAGCTGTAGAGTATCCACAGCAACGAATGGTGCACAGCCGTCCACACTTGCCATCAGCAGCACTGCGAGCGCATCAGTCTCACCAAGAATCGCATGGCCCGATGTGCTGCTGCCCCGCGTGGTGTGATATGGTGTGCATGGCATGGCATGGCACGGGCATGGCATGGTGTGTTCTCTCAGATATGTGGGGTCCAACTTTATCGCTGCGGCTCTGGAGGGTCTGAGACTCCCTAAGGGCATCGTGCTTCTGTAAGACTCATAGTGGTGTGCACATTTGATTTTTTTCGTTGTATCAAAGGCATTGGGACCCAGCAACTGGATTCTCGCTGTGAGAGTCGACATTCACTGCCACATCCGTCCAGGCGATGCCTTGATGTGCATGCATCCGTGTGCATGCATCCATGCGCAAGCATGCATCCGTGTGCATGCATCCATGCGCAAGCATGCATCCGTGTGCATGCATCCATGTGCAAGCATGCATCCGTGTGCATGCATCCATGTGCAAGCATGCATCCGTGTGCATGCATCCATGTGCAAGCATGCATCCGTGTGCATGCATCCATGTGCAAGCATGCATCCGTGTGCATGCAACCATGTGCAAGCATGCATCCGTGTGCATGCATCCGTGTGCATGCATCCATGTGCATGCATCCATCCATATTCATACATGCAGGAGTCTTGAATGCAACCAGCTCTATGGCAGCCTTCCTGCGTCCTTCTCCCTCTTAAGCAACCTCCAAATCATGTGAGCATTATGCCCGCCCGTGCATCACTCTTTGCTGCTGCTGTGCCCGCCCATGCATTGCTCCGTTCCTTTTGTCATATCGCGCATCAATGCAGCAACCACTCACTCGTTTCTGCACCTGATCTACCTGTTTATGGCCCCTCTTCCCCCGCTCTTCCCCCCTTACTCGCCCTTGTTGCTGCATGGCCTCCCATGGTCACCTCACCTACGTGCATGCTCCTTCCCGTCCCACCCAGCATGGCCAGCAGCAACAACCTCTCTGGCTCTCTTCCCACCTTCTTCTCAACCCTCCCCAACTTCCAACTCCTGTGCGTGAGCTCACGTTGATATAGCTTTGAGGGATTGTCACGATCAGTGTTGGCGGTGAATGCTGCTGATGCGTGCACTGCACTGCACGGCATTTGCCTTTATAGTGTATAAGTCAGCCTGCAGCCTATTCCAATCAAGACACTAGTGCTTTTCCACACATATGCTTCTCCCGTACCCCATCTGATGTTGTGGCCTTCTCTCTGCCATTGTCCATTTGACCTCCCGTCCATCTCCCTTCTCCCTAACCTTAATCCATGAATGCAATGCTGTCTCCAGTGACATATCGAACAACAGCATCACAGGAGGAGTGCCTTACGGGCTTTTCGCATCGCTTAAGTGGTTCTCTTTGTAAGAGATCTTTCTTGAGCTTCAAATGCAGATTTGTTCGTTTTGATCCAATCATTGCCCTTGTAACATTTATGCCATGACAGGGCTGAGCTGCCAATGAGCTCAAATTATGAGGCCCTCACACTTTTCAACGAGTGACTAACGTTACTTCACACGTGACATGTGATCCCCGCATGCATGTGCAAAAATCGACATGATCCGGCATTGTACCTATCCTATACAGCCTATTTACATGATACATCCATGCATATGTGAAGTCATATATCATTCACTGTACAACGATTAATCCACGTCGTCTTTTTTAACTACGTATGTCTTTCCAATGTCGTGTCGACGGCGGAACACATCCAGGTAGGGTAGACATGATCAAAATTCGATTGCGATTTAAATCGCATCGCATGCAGGTGCGATGTTTAAAAAAGCGATGCGATTTAAAATCGCATCACGCGATTTATTTTTCCAAAAAAAAAATATCGCAAATCGCATTTTACCGGCGATGTATTAAAAAATCGCATGCGATATTGAATTAAATCGTGCAATGCGATTTTAAATCGCATCACGTTTTAAAACAGAATTAAAAAACACCCCAAAAAAACAGAAAAAAAACATGGCTGCGGGGAAATCAACTCACGGGCAGTCGTAAGCTAGAGTGCAAATAACCAGTCTGGTTTCGTAGTGGGTTTCAGAGTGGGTTTCAGTGCAATATCGCACGCGATTTTGTAAAAATCGCATATCGCATTTAAATCGCGTTTTTTAGCGCGATTAAAATGCGATTTAAATTAAATCGCACGATATTAATTCATCGCATCGCGCGATGATTAAAAAAAAAAAAAAAAAAATCGCCATCGCAAAAACGCGATTAAATGCGATGCGATGCGATTTTTTTTGCCCATGTCTAAGCTAGGGTTGAGCAAAATACCCGGGTGGGGCGGGTACCTGCCTGGACCCGGATCCGCTTTTAGGGCGGGTCGGGTATCAGGTAGACATGGGCAGATTAAATCGCATCGCATCGCTTTTAATCGCGTTTTTGCGATTGCGTTTTTTTTTTTTTTTTTTTTTTTTTTTTTTCATCGCGCGATTTAATTTAAATCGCTTTTTAATCGCGCTGAAAATCGCGATTAAAATGCGATTTGCGATTTTGTTTTAATCGCGCGCGATTTCGAGATACCACGGGGGCTCCCACCTTTCCTAAACCCAATACTGAACTGAATTATTTATCTAAACTACTGCCCATGACTGCCCTTGATCCAAATTCCCATCGGTGTTGGTTTTTTTTATCCGGTTTTCTGAGGTGTTTTTTAATTTAAGTAAAATGCTATGTGATTTTAAATCGCGTCGCGCGATTTAAATAAACATCGCATGCGGTTCAAATTAACATCGCGCCCAAAATGCGATGTGCGATTTAAAATTTTCACGAAATTAAATCGTGCGATGCGATTTTAAATCGCATCGCATTTTTTTACATCGCACCCCTGTGCGATGCGATTTAAATCGCAATCGCATTTTGATCATGTCTAGTATCAGGATTCCCGAATATTACCCGGCGGGTCGGGTCCGGGTTACCCGGGCGGGTATTCGATACCCGTTACCCGAAATCTTACCCGACATGTTGGGTAACGGGTACCCGACCCGCCGGGTATTGAATACCCGACTTCGGGTACCGCCCCTCTCATGTTGGCAAAAATGCTACCCGACCCAGTTTAGGTTGTTTTTTAAAGACCATGCTGTCGACGCCCACCCCGGCGGGCCACCATGACAAACACACCAATGGCAACAGAGGGTAAAACAGAGGTTGTTCAGGCATTTTTTCATGGGTGGGTAGCAATACCCGCTTTTAGCCTTAAACGGGTGGGGTATATCCGGATCCGCCTGGCGGGTATTATATTCCCCGCCATTAAGGGCCGGATCCGGGTAATGGTCCTGGGGGTATTACCCGACCCGGACCCGATCCGAAAATACCCGACCCGAGGTCGGGTATGGCAAAACCGGGTCGGGTCGGGTCGGGTATTCACCCGGTTTTGCTCATCCCTACATCCAGCTATAATGGAAAGCCATAATATTCTTTCAGGATGTCTGGTAGTACTTTGAGCAATGCATTCCGCAAGAATAGTCGCACCCTGACGTTCAAGGATACAACAACCCGATGCAGCCCAACGTGGCTGTGCATTGGGATGAATTCGCATTGCACAGCGCCCTCTGTTGTTTCACGACGTGGCAAGACATACATGTGAAGTATATAACGAGACAGGCGTCACTGCAAGGATATAATTGAATGACCTAGACCAATGCACAGCTGCACTGCACGCACTCAAACAGCAGACAGACATCGCTGCAAGGATACAATCAAATGACGTAGACCGATGCGTCGACGAAGTCGCATCAAATGTAATCACTCTGCGCGGTCGCATCCAGAGATTCTCTTGCACTGTGTTTTTTAGTTGTTTCCATTAGGTCTTGCTGCTTTCTTAATACCCTGTGGCATACAATACAACAATAGATGGTTCTTTATGTTCTTTTTAGTATAGTCAGGCAGGGTGCTTCTGTTGTTTGTGTTTTTTATAGCACACCCCTTATTTGCAAAGTCAATCGAGTGGAATACTAACTGATTCTGCACATTTAAGAGGTGGTCTGTGCTCATATTGTATTGAAGCTTGTTTGCGTTTTGATGAGCATTGATAGTGTTTTGGGTTTCTTTGCGCAAGATGAAAAAAAACGTTACAAGCTGGACTGTATGAAGTCACAATCTCTTTTTGTCATTGAGAAGTTCAGCTCGGCGCGCTTAGGACAGACAGTTCATAGTATAAGCCTTTTTTGCCAAACATAACCGTAGTATTTCTTCTATCTTTTTTGTTCAATATACTACCATCCCAGGCTAGCGGCCAATAACGCAATGGCAGGTGTCCTGCCGGCACTCGGCCACATCGAGAAATTCAGCTCCCCGTACGATATTGTTCTAGCCACGCGATGCCCTGACCTGATCTGCTTTGTGTAGAAAGTCTTGGTACAAGTTGCTGACAGAGGACGCTCTGAATGCAAATCATGGGTGCTCTTTCTTTTCAGGGTTTAATGTGAGGGTTTAGGATTTCGGGGTTATGTGGAGCCCGTCATCCCTGCTATCGCCGTTCCCAACATTGCCACACACTTCGAATGCAGCTTCAAAAGCCCTTGTTTCTGTATTCCCCTCCTTGTCACCTCCATGTATTACCATGCACACTACCACTCTGTGCCTCTTGTCCCTTCCCTGCGCCCCTCTTCTCCCCACCATGTCCTCTGTGCGCCTTGCTTCCAGGCGTGTTGGCAGCACCCTCACCTGCCCTCCCAACGGCACTCTCTGCCCCAAGCTGGTTTCACCACGCAATGCTTTCTGCAAGTCACTCTGCCCTGACTTCTGCAACTCCTGCGTGCAATATGGCTCAGGTGATATACGGGCACATGCACTAACTGGCACAGGTGGAATATGCCTCTGTGTCTGCATTGATTGTGCCAGTGTGATGCTTAGGTCACTCTCATCCGGCACTAACTGGCACAGGTGCGATGTGGCACAGGCGGAATAACAGGCACAGGTGGAATATGCCTGTCTACAAAACTCGTGCCAGTGTGATGCTTCCTCATCCAGTACTCTTCAGTCCTCCACGTGGTCTCCCCAGTTGTGACTACCCTGGGCATTCTGAATGTTCTGTTATCGTGTCAGTCCCGATGCCACACACCACTAAAGAATACCCGTTTTCTCCTGCGTGCTCTCCTCTCTACCTGCTCTCCTCGCTTCCTCTCCCCTTCACAGGCACCAGCATACCCATGCCTCCTTCCCAGTCCACGTGGCAGGACCCTCCTCCAGGTCAGCCGATAGGCCCACACCTCCGCCATCCCTAGACATGAGCAAAAGAGGCGAGTAAATACTCGTTTCAGATTTGGCGAGCAACGAGGTCGATTTTTTTACGAAATTACTTGGCGAGTATTACTCGCCTCGCCTCGGCCAGTAGAAATTACTCGTATTTTACTCGTCGCTTTAGGGCGAGTAATGTCTACTCGCGAGTACACACTACTCGCCTGGAGTAGTTTTTCCTCGTGTCATTTGTACCAGCACGACCCACGCCAGAGTGGTACAAATGTCACGATTTCGACTTGGCTGATCCTTTTTTTTGGATCAGCCAAGGTTAGTACCTTCGTTGTAGGGTCTCCTAAGGCCCTTGAGAGCGCTAGGGGGGAATCTTAACGGTTGGTTAGTGCTTCGTCACCCCACCTTCAAGGTAGCTTAGGTTAGTAAATGGTTGCGTTGGCTAGGAATAAACTAGGCCACAAGTTGGCACGCGGATTAGGTCGTCTCTGGATTCGTCAGAGTGAAATGCGCCGGTCTCCTGTTAGGCTGTTAGAGTAGTGAGAGGGAGGAGGGGGACTGGGTTGGTGTTGGTTGGGAATTCTAGATTGGGTGGGATGCAGTGCGGTTAGGAGGGGGAGGGGTTGGATTGATGATTTGAAAAATCAATGTTCAGTTCTCGACTTGGTGAATTGTGTGGTTGGATTCGCCAAGTCGCAATTTGGCGAAATTGTTTTTTGCGTATTTCTTGCCGGGCTGCTTGCCGAGAAATACGCAAGCGTATTGCATATGGCCCTAGCGTACGGCGTATTCGTATGTGCGCTAGTGTACGCGCTAGGCTGCCCTAGCTTATTTCTCCACATATTTTAGGAGCCCCTAAGAAACGCACTAAGGGGGTCGATTCCGCCCCTAACCCTGGCCCCCCCATACCTCCTAGTCCGCCACTATACCTCCTATCCACTATACCTTCTAGTCCGCCTCTCTTCCTCCTAATCCGGCAGGTGAGTGGGAGCACACAGGGGGGGACGCTACCAGGACGAGGGGAGTATTACTCACAAGTGGCAGCCACGCATCACCTTTGTCCTCACAATCCATCTCCCACTGCTCCTCCATCCATACTTGTCCGCCCCCTCCACATTCCCTCCCCACCTCCCCTCTCCCCCCAGCACCAGCAGCGGACCCCTTTGGCTATGCCCCCGGCCGCTCAGCCCCCGTGTCGCCATGGCAGGGCCTGGCATTCCGCCCACTCTCCCTCGCGTGGAGTGCGGAGGAGCAGGGGGGGGAGAGGGGGCAGTGGGGTGTGCAGGAGGGGGTGGACTGGCGCAGTGCAGCCGCCAAGGGAGGGGGGACAGTCAGCATAGCGCAGCAGCAGACACAGTCACAGGGCGAATGCGGTACGTGGCAGTCACAGGGTGCATGCGGTATTTGGCAGTCATAGGGTGAAGCGAATGCGGTATGTGGCAGTCACAGACTGTAGCACCTGTTGGCCTCCTCCCCTCCGTGCCTGTGGCTTTGCATGCACCTGTGCATGCTACGTGACAAGAAGATCCAACTCCTTAACTGCTCTTCGCCCTTTCCTCACCCACTTCCTCCCCATGTCATCTCTTTTCCTCTTCTTTTATTTTGGTCAAATTGTGTCTCGTCATTCATACCCCACGCCCCCCACTCTCGCTCCCCCCTCCGCCACCCGCAGGCATATCGTGGGCATATGCGGCAGTGGCAGCAGTGGAGAGCGCAGTGGCGCTGGCGTCCATGCCATACCTGCCGGGCGCCAGCAAGCGCCTGCCGCTCGCCCTGCAGCCGGCCTTCCTGCGGCCAAACCTGAGCGAGCGCCACGTGGCGGCGTGCCGGGCCGCCCTGCCCTGCATGCACTGGCAGCCGGACGCCGCCTTTGCCTTCATGGCCGCTGCAGTCGCCACCGGCAAGGCCGTGCTCGCCAGGGGCGCCTTCCAGCTTGGCGCCACTCCCTGCTCCATGCCACGGGTCGGCCCTCACCTCTCCTTTAGGATTCTCTGTACTTGTACTACACTTCCCTCTGTTCTCTCCCCCCTTGAATGTCCTCTGTTCTCCTTCTTCAGATTCCGTTTTCTGGTCTCCCTTGTTGGAAAGTTGTGTCGTTTTCCTCTGTCATCCTCATCTAGTGTTGGCCATGTGCAACGTCTTGCCTCTGCTTCGACCGCTCTTCCCCAGCGTATGGCCCGTTCTTTTACCCATGAACGATCTTCCCCCCCACACAAATGCAGACAAGCGCCAACGCGTCCCTGCCGCAGCCCTTCATCCGAGGCATGGGGTTTGAGCGCGCACCTGAGGGTCTGCCGCGGTGGCTCTCTCTGTTGCTCGTTCTGCAGCAGCAGCCCGCCGTGGTCAACCTCAGGGCCAACCACCCCTCCTTCCGACTCTACACCACTGTAAGCCGCAATCACTAACGCTGGTACGGGAATTGGTGCACTGAAGCACTGGGCGGGACAAAGTGAGATGGCGCAGATGGTCAACCTCGGGGCCAACCACAAAGTGGTTAGGAAAACATTCCACCGGTAGGGTGGTTAACCTTAGAAGGAACCAGCTCTATAGATTTGCATTATATGTTGCTAGGGTGGCTCGCACTGCGCAGGGCGTTTTGACTTACCTGCACTTACTGCAATGCCATTCACCCATGCCCCCCCTTTTCCCCCAGGGAGTGTACTTATCAAAGATGGTGGGCGTGTTGATGCTCACAACAACTGCTTGCCTGCGCTTCTCTATGCTCGCCCCCTCCCCCCAGGGAGTGTATTCGGACCCGGGGTGTGCATTGAGCGGGTTGCCGGACCACTCGGTGGCGGTGGTGGGATACAGCCTGGCGAGTGAGAGCCTGGCAGGGGACATGCCGCACTGGATCGTGCGCAACTCATGGGGGGACGTATGGGGCGAGCAGGGCCACATGCGCATCGCCATGGCTGGCGGGGATGGCATCTGCAACATGCATGCCACGCCGGCCTCCTACCCCACCATTGCCAGTGAGTCGGTGCTGCCATCGCCAGCTTGACTGTTGGATGCACCATGCCATGCCAAGCCGTGCTGTTCCATGATTTGCTGTCTCTTTCCCCATATTCACAACCCCTACCCCCCCCGCCCCACCCCCACCCCTCCAGCCTTGACTCCTTGCCTGAACACCATCAACCCGTGTGGGGGCGGGCAGTGTGTGGCAGGTCGCAAGCCAGGCACGGCCACGTGTGTCTGCCCGCCGGGCTTCAGAGCGGTCATCAACGGCGATGGCACACAGACTTGCGCCCCAGGTCAGTCCTGTACCCTGCATGCACATCACTCAGAAATCTGGCGCTCCCTACGCCACTGCCTTGTGTTCCTCCCTATGCCACTGCCTCGTGTTGTTTCCTTCATCGTATATTCTCTGCCATGGCTCCTCATCCTACACTCCACATGAACTGAAGGCTCTCCGGCAGCGTTAGCGGCCAGGCATCCCTTCATTGGCATCTCATTGTTCACTCTCCTATTGTTCCCTATCCCCCTCCCCCTTCTCTCTCTCCCCCAAAACACCGCCCCTTTCCACCCACCAGCCGACCCGTGTAGCTTCTATGTGTTCAACCCATGTGGGTTTGGATCGTGTGTGAGTGGTGGCAGTGGCGGGTACACGTGTGTGTGTTTCAGAGGCTTCCAGCCGGGCCGGCGAGCAGCTGACGACTCAACCATTTGCGTGCCGGGTGAGGCATGTGCGTGTCAGGTGAGACATCCCATGCAGTACCATTCATGCCATGCCCCCATGCCATGTCCCACAGCACGGTGACCTCATGCCAGCTTCTCTGAAAGGCATGGCGTGGGGCGTGTAGGATGATGGAGCTTGACATGCTACTAGGGTGTCCTGATTTCTGTTGCAGCAATTCATGCCCTTTTATGCCCTCTTTTGTTGACGAAATCCTTCCATACACCCTCCTGGTGCCTTACACCTTGCAAATGATTCACCTTACACTGCCTTTTTTTGTACAATCCTTGTCCCAGCTGTCTACGAAGCATAGAGCTAACATGCAATGACAACCTTCCGATGTTCCCTCACTTTCCCCATGAATGTGCAGACAGCTCTTCCCTAGAGGGCATCGTGCATGTGGTGGCAGGAGACACCTCGTGTGCCGCCATTCAGACTGCTTTCAGTGTGCCTCGCGCCACGCTGCTCCTCCAGAACCCAAAGCTCGTGCGTATCACGCATACTGACCCCTTTCCCTTACTTGCATTACGGTGATTCTCAGGTCCTCGCACCTCCTTGTCGTTCTGCCATGGCTTTCCTAGCAGCAAGGGCTTTAGGCTGCAGCTCTTCATTCCTTCAGTTATACTTAGTGCGAGTGAGGATGGAACGGGTGGGGGAAGCAAGAGGGGAGGGGGGAGGGGGTTGTGGGGGAGGAGGGGGAGGGGGGAAATGGGTTGGGGCACCAGAAGAAGAGTGGGATGGGGAAGCAGGAGGAGGGAGAGGGAGAAGATTAAAGAATATCACCAAAGGAGGGGGGAGCACTGGGGACTAAGGTGGAGGGAGGGGGTGGGGGCAGGGGGAGGATGGGAGGGGGGGGAGGAGAGGAGTAGGGACAGTGTCAGTCCAAGTAAGGGGTCAAGGAATTGTGGGGAGATGGTCAGTGGTGGGAGGCAAGGAGTATTAGGGACTGGACTCATCAAAGTCCACATCCCGACTACAAAGAAGGCGACCTGAGGGAGGATGAAGGAAGAGGTAGTCAGGAGAGGAGGGATTGTGATTAAGGAATATACAGGGGAGAGTACGAGAGGCGGTTTTCCCGCAGTGTGGGGGAGGTCAGAAGGGTGAATGAGAACATAAGCCCTAGAGCTCCATGCACGAAGGGAGGAGGCACAAGGCTCAGCTGATGCCCAGAGCTCTGTGAGAGCGGTGGAGAGGATGATAGGGTGAGGATATTGGTTAGTGAGGAGGGCGGCATGAAGAAGGGCATAGCCCCACAGAGAGGAGGGGCAAGAGGCGTGGACAAAGAGGCACCAAGCGATCTTAGTGATCTCCCGAACACGACTTTCAGTCACACCATTCTGCTATAGGGAGTGAGGGAGAGTGTGAGTCTGGCAAATGCCATGGGAATGGCAATAGGAGGCTACCTGATGGGTACGGAACTCGCCACCGCCATCATAGTGAAGGTGGCGAACGGGGAGCCCAAAGTGGGTGCTTGCCTGCTCGAGCCAGGCGGTGATTGCAGCCGACGCAGTGAGCCTTCGTGCGAAGAAGGGAGACGGAGGTGTATGGGCTATGATCATCGAATAGGACAAGGAGGTAGCGATGGTCCTGACGAGTGGGGGAGGGGTTGGGGCCGCACATATCCATGTGGACAAGATCAAGCGGCTGAGCGGCGACGGAGGGGGAACTCCAATGCGTCAGTTGCTTGAGCTTGCCTGGACACAAGTGGAGCACGGGGGGGCGCGGGAGGGAGGGAGAGGAGGAAGGGAGATAGGGAGACCTCAAAGGAGACCAGAGGAAACAGAGGAGCTCAGGGTAGCAAAGTTAGGATGACCTACCCTGTGATTGAGGAGGACAGCGGGATGGGAGAGGGCACGACAGGAACAGGAGGAGTCATGGGGGGCATGGGGAAAGGTTGGGTTGGTGGAGGGGAGGGGAGGGGGGAGGACAAAAGGGAGGGCGAAGGTACAGGAGACGGCCTGAGAGGAGGTGAGGCGGGGAAGCCGAAGGGTGTACAAGCGAGAACGGGGGCGAAAGGGGATACGGGAGAGGAGTCTACGAGTAGTAGTGTGATAGAGTGCACATTGGTTAGCGCGACTTGGAAGATGGTGGTGATACCGGTCTGTTGGAGGGACCTTTGGGAGTAGACATGGGCATAAGCCGAGCCAGGCTCAGCTCGGCTCGTCCACGGGTCACCAAACATCCCTGGCTCGGCTCGCATTTCTGTGGGCGAGCCAGGGCTGGCTCGACAGCGAGCCGGCTCGGCTCGGCTCGCCTAGCACGCGCTTAAGCCTACAGTAGTGCGCGCTTGAGCCTACGCAAGTGCGCGCTGTTAAAAGTGGCGCGGGCTGCTTAAGATTCATTGCGCTACTCCTAGGCACGCACGGAATTCTAGGGTTTGCGGAATTGACGGAAAGTAGATTGTGAGGAGGAAGGAGGGTGTTAGAAGTTAGGTTGGAAGTCGTAGATGCAATAGTGTGCAGTGCGGTTGAGCGAGGCAAAAGGGTTTGATGGGTTTTTTGGTTGTCAAAGTTTGGGATTGCGACTTGGCGCAATGTCTGGTTGAATTCGCCAGGTCGCAAGCAATGTCGTGGGAAAACATTCCGCGTCAAACATTTTGGGTGGGCGTTTAGCGTTTACTATTTTAACGCAGCTTTTAAACGCTAAACGCTGCCCTGCTAGAGCGTTTGCGGTAACACAGTCGAGGAGTTGTTGGCGGGAGAGACAAATGGGGAGACTCGTTTGAAATCGAGTGGCGAGCCACCTGGCTCGAAATCGAGCCGGGGACGAGCGGGCTCGATCCCGGCTCGACGAGGACATCGTGTACGAGCCGAGTTGAGCCGGATCCCAAAAAGAAAGGCTCGGCTCGCCATTTTGGCGAGCCGAGCCGAGCCGAGCCGGATGTGGCTCGGCTTGTGCCCATGTCTATTTGGGAGAGGTGGTTAGTGCGGAGGGATGGAATGTTGAGGCCGGTAATAGTACCTGGGGGAAAGAGAGGATAGGGGAGGGTAGAACGGTCTCGGTGGCTCCACTGTCCAGGACAAAGTCCAAGGTGGAGGGGAGTGAAGGTGAGGGAGGAGGAGGAGAGGCCACATACTATTCAAATGCGGTTTCATTAATAGCAGGGGGATACATGGAAGATTCAACAGACCCAGTCTGACTAAGCAAACCAACAAAGCCAAAGGAGGGAAAGGGGGTCACAGTGCTAGTAGCAGAGGGTGCAGAGGAGGCACCGGAGAGATGAGCAGCAATCGCACCACTCCTGGCAGAGAAGGGCTGCTGCTAAGGAGGCACTGTTGCTCCTGCTGCTGCAACACCTGCTGCTGCACCCTCTGGTGCTGCTGAGGGAGCGAAGAGGTGAGGGCCTGATGGGCCTGGGTAGAGGAGCTGGGCTGATAGACGGGGGAGGTGTGCACCTCGTGGGAAGTGGGGCAGGGAGTGACAGAGGACCAGCGAGGAGGAGTGGGAGTTGCCACGGGCAACCACTGGTCACTGAGTGCCCTTGACGCACGTCTCACTGGCATGAGCGATCTGGCCGTAGTGCTGACCCAGCGGGTGGGGCCATAGTGAGGCAGGTACTGACACGGGGGAAAGGCGGATGTTGCGCCATGCCCAACACGACCATGATGTTAGAATATTCTACCTTCATTCTATTAGCCTACATTGTTACATTGTCTTAGGTACTTATCAGCACCCCACTAGGGTGTATACACCCAAGTTGGGGGTTGGACTCCCAATTATTGGAAACCCCAAATAATCCCAACCAAGATTATTGGACCCACCAATAATCTTGGCTAGGATTATTGGACCCCCAATAAGTTGGCCAACCCAACTTATTAGGGTGACCAATAATCGTGGTCACCTCCCAACCAAACCCCCCCTCCTACTCCTCACCTCTGTATACCCGCTCCTTTCCCAATACAATGACCTACTTTTTACTGTCACGATTTCTCACACACGACCCACAGCCTCACCGCTTCCACCACCACGCCCACTCCTGCCGCTGCGAGTCTGAGCTACTGCCGCGGAGGAGGAGGGCTGGTGAAAGAGCTCGGCCTCGGTGTTGATGCTCCACTGCACTGGGCAACCTTGGCGGGGGTGTGGTGCTGTGAGATCAGCCGCATGTAGGCGAGCTTGTGGGCATCAATGGCGGGCGAGATTCTTGAGGAGTTGGCAGCAGAGGTGCATCGAGGTAAGCTACGTCAAACACGGCAAGACGACGGGCAAGATCGAGGACGTGGCGGGTGAATGCAGAGGCGCGAGTGGTGGAGTCCATAGTGAGGGAGTTGAACTCCTTGATGAGGGAGTAGAGGGTGGCAACATCCTGATGATCAAAGAGATTGGCCAGGAGCTGCCACGGGTGGGAGGAGGAGGTGGGAGCTTGAGGGAGGAGAGAATGGTGGCAAGGAGGATTGCAAGCGCTCGACGATCAGGGACATGCCAGGCGGCTATGCTGGTGGTGTAGGTGCGCAGGTGGGTAGTGTAGGTGGTGAACTCCTCCTGGTACGCGACATAGCGTGCGACTGCGAAGTCGTAGTCGGCCTTGGCGGCTTCGTAGATCAGCCGCAGGCGGAGGTGCTTGATGAGGCTGTTGCAGTAGATGCGGATGGCAATCTTGGCGCCCTGAGCACAACTGCTTGAACACAACGGCTTTCACGTTGTAGCCGCCAACCACCACTGAGGAGAGGAGCACCTTGACCGACTGGGCTTTGGAGTGCCGGTTGGCGGCAGTGTTGTCGGGGAGGAGTTCGAGTGCGTCAACCGCGGCAAGGTTGACGGGCGAGTCGGAGGATGCCATGCCGGGGGAGGAGTGAGAAAGAGGAGGGGGAGGAAGGAGGGAGAAGGAGTGGGAGGAAGGAGGGAGAAGGAGTGGGAGGAAGGAGGAAGGAGGAAGGAGGAGGAAGAGGAGGTGAAAAGAGCAGGTGCGCAGAGCTCAGCTCTTAAGCCGAAGGCGCTGCACAATGTGTAGCATTTGAGGATGCGGTGCAATCGCGGGCGTGGGCACCGGCGAGAGGCGCAAGCTCGGACACGGCGGCGGCAGATGCAATGGCAGCGAGCAATGGCGGACGCGGCGAGCGCGGCGACGGGGGACACACCTGGGAGGGCGCATGACGGGAGTGCGATGGAAGGAGGCGCGACGAAAGTGCGTGCGGCGGGAGGGCGCTCAAAAGGATGGTTTAGGGTCGGGCGGACACAATGGAAGGGTGGGACGGGAGGGTGCGCGACGGGAGGGCGCGAGGGAGGGCGCACAACGGGAGGACCCAAACCACTCTCTCACATACCAACCCATGCCTAATTCGCCAACACCCAACCTATCCCTCCCAATCCAAACCTCATCTCCTTAATCCCTCTTTGCGCACCCAACCCTACTCGATTTTCTGCCAACACCTAATGCAGATCTTGAAGTTTTTGGAGCATGTGTCTCTCGAAGTTTTGAACTGTTGGAATGCTTTTCCCCTAAGACCAGAAATGCGATTTTTAAATTCATCGCATGCGATTTTTAGAAACATCGCACTGCAAAAACAATGTGCGAATAACAGTTTCATCGCACGATGCGATTTTAAGTCGCATTGCTTTTTTTTTTGTCGCCCCCATACGCGATGCGATTTAAATCGCAATCGCGTTTTGATCATGTCTAGTGCCAACCAAAGGACCAGACCAAATCCAATGTTCACCCCCCAATATGTAAAATAGCTACACCTATTCTAACCTATGTATGTTGTTATAAATATGTAGTATATATACATCACAACAGTTACATAGCATGGCATAGGATGGCATGCGTGCAGGTGTGCAGCAGAGTGGTGAAGAAGGGCACTCGGGTGAATGTCACTCAGTCTTCCAGCAGTGGGGAGTGCTCCTCCTGGTACTGCACTGCTCAGGTCAGTCGGTGGGAGGTTCAAGGGGATGCATGATCATGCACCAGCTGCATGCATTTGCATACTTCGGGATGCGTGCACGTGTGATTGTGGACTCAACCATACACGTTCATACAAGCACATCTATTGTAAATGTGTGGGCATCTGTTACTTGACATGCATTCCTGCATTTGCGCATGTGCATGCGTTGCGGTACCCTTATTAATGCGCAACTGTGCACCTCTTCCCACCACCCTCCCCCCCATCAGGGCGAGAGCTGCTCATCTCTGCAGGCCGCGCTGTCGCTGGACGCCTCCTCCCTGGCTCTCTTCAACCCGGGCCTCGACTGCTCCTCGCCCCTCCCTTTACCCCCCGCCACTACCGTAAGCCACAATGCTTCCCCTTCCCCACAGCCCTGACTCTCCCACGTGTCTGCTGCAAGGGTTGCCCTTCAACCTCTGCTGCTCACACGGTTTCCTCCCACTTGCACTGCATCATGCTTTCTTCCCCTTTCGCTCCGTGTTCTCCCCCTCCCCTCCACCCCCCCCGCCCACTCTCCCCCGTGCAGGTGTGTGCATCCACGGGTGGCAGTGCCCCCACAGCCTACCCTCTCTGCACGCGCTGGGTGCTCTCTGCTCCAGATGACACCTGCGCCTCTCTCGCCGCCCGCCTCGCCCTCTCTCTGCCGCTGCTGCTCGCCCTCAACCCAGGCCTCCTCTGCTCCAACCTCCCTGTCCGCACGCCCGCCACCCTGCCCTCCTTCGGGGAACAGGTCAGTAGAACTCTAGTGTATGTTGCTTCATGGTAGCATGTGGCCCACTGGAAGGGAAGTGGGAGTGGGGGGAGGAAAGAGGGGTTGGGGAATATGAGTTTGTTGCTGTTTTTGTCTTCATCGTGATACGACAGCTTGTGCACTCATGGTGGATTGACTATCGTTTTGCAGCCCCAAGCAGCATCGTGTTTCCTCTCCCTCCATGCAGGTGTGCGTCAGCCAAGCCCCACCAAGCCTCGCCTGCGCCGAGCCCAACTACCGGTTCGAGGTGGTGGCTGGGGACACGTGCACGGCTCTGATTGCGCGGCGGTTTGGGTGCGTGGAGGCCCTGCAGAACCTCAACGCGGGGCTCGCCTGCTCTGACCGCCTGCTGCATGTGGGGCTCACCCTCTGCGCCCCGCCAATGCCCTTAGAGGCCTGCCTCGCCCTCAAGGCTCTCGCAGCCTGACTGACCTTGACACCTTTTTGTTCATGGGAAAAGCAATGGGTCTCTCTGCTGTCCCTACTGGCACTATGTTGGAAATATCTCAAGGACTTAAGCGTTTCTGAAGTGTAACACTGTACTCGAGGAAGATTACAGGGGAGCACGCGAGTCAACGGAGGTTACACGAGGGGGCGGACAAAGAATGCGAAAGGACTCGAAAGGTCGCAACTGGAGGTTGCGACTGACCGTTACAACATCACGGATGGTAACCGAAGCGGCAATCGAGTCGCTGTGCGACTCGATAAACCGTTCCTGTAACTGTATTCTACAACTGCTTCCTTATCTTCTATATATTGCTGTATGCTTGTTTCTTTAATCAATCACTTGTTCTCACATACTAGTACAAGGGTTCAACTGCCTCAACTTCCGCTGCACTACTCCAAGTCTCAAGTCTCTACAGCTGGGACTTAGTCTCTGCAAAAGATCCTAAGGGCTTTTCTCAGCCCAACATGGTATGAGAGCTGGTCAGAGATCAAAACTCCCAGCAACTACACTCCATCAACAACCAGCAACTCAACTTGATTCAACAACTCCATTGATTACAAGACATGGACAACAAGGGCAAGAAAGTCTCTACGGGCTCACCCAGCGCCCAAGAAACTCAACACGGCAACTCTGGTCTGCACACCTCAGGACTGCAGACAGAGACCGGGACTACTCAAGAAACAACGGGAAGAGTACCAGAGATGGTGACTCCGTCTCCCTCTTCAAGTGTGGACCCGAATCTCATGGAGAGATTCTTCAGCTTCATGTCACACTTCGACCAGCAGCAGCAGACAATGACACCTGCGCACTCAACACAGAGCAATGGAGGGAATATGGGATTAGCGCCGATGAGCCTCGACAACTCATCCTTCGGGCGACACAACCAAGCGCCTACCTTTGCGCCTTATCATTCTTCGCCGGGGACGTTCGAATTCATGCCGCCCCGTGCCCAGCCAACAGCAGCTGCTTCACAACAAACACCGAATGAAATCTTAAGTTTACAGGCGCAGTTCTCACACGTGATCAAACTTCAGACATCCTCACCGTTCAACGGACACGACTTCTTTACCTGGAGCTTCGAGTTTGAGCTGCTGATGGAGGCCGCGCATCTTCTGGGATACTTCAACGGGTCCCTGCCATTCCCAAGCAACGGCACTGGGAAGGAACAAGAGATCTTCACGTATCAGTCGCTGCTGGCGTACACGGTACTCCTGAGAAACCTGTCACCACAAGAGCAGCAGAGCATCAGAACGTATCGGAGTTATGGAAACTCCGCGGAGCTCGCATGGCACCACCTCAAATGCCTTTACCAAGCAAACGACAGCGTGACACAAAGCAGACTCATGCAACAGCTGACAACAATACAGATGAAGACCGGGGAAAAGGCGATGCAGTATATGAGTCGCTGCCAGACCCTCCGCGACCGCCTGCTTCGGTGCGGAGGAACGATCACTGAAGAAAGCTTCGTGACACTTGTCCTCGCCGGGCTCGGGCCAGAATGGAGAACCACACGATCACTTCTTCGAGCCCACGGAAGAATTTCGGAGATGCACCTCTGCGCCGAGCTTCACGCTGAACAACAGGAGATGGATCTGTTCGAGGAAAGACAACCAAGGAAGCAACAGCAGGTAGTCTTCTACACTCAAAGAAGAAATGACAACAACTACAACCGACGCAGCAAGCAAGATCAACGCGACAACCGAGGACTCACCATCGTGCCGCCGTTCTGCCACAACTGTCAGACTTCCGGGCACTCCAAGGTCAACTGCAACCGCCCTCGCGTTTACCGTGCAGCAGACCCACAAGTCGCTTCCACTCAAGCAAGTCCTCCAAGGCGCTCTTCAACATCTGCACAACAAACACCCAACATCATCAACTGCATGGTACACATCGACAACTGCGCACCCGCTTCACCACCCACTTACGCACCAGACGAAGAGGAATTCCCGCCGCCGCGCTCGCAAGGACTTCAGGTCAACCCGACATACGCTGCAGTCGCTAACGCCGAACCCACCGGGCGGAACACCTGGTTCTTGGACAGTTGCTGCGGTCAGCACATGTGCTCCTCCGGACGCTTCGTACAACACGAGCGACGCCTCAACCGCGACGTCGTCATCACCGTCGCCAACAACGAAAACCTGAAAACAAACAGGCAAGGCGTGGTTCAGTTACAATCAATGGAGACAAACGTTATTCTTCAGCTCAACAAAGTCCTCATCGTCGACAATCTGGGATACAACCTACTAAGCGTAAGCCAACTAATGGCTAAGGGGATTCACCTGGAGTGCGACTCCTTCTCCAACGAGTTCCGACTTTACCACGGGAAGGGCGGTCTCTTCATCGGTCGTGCCCTCCTGAAGTCCGGTGTCTTCGTGTTGGACTTCGTCCCCGACCGCGGAACTGCCGACAGCGATGGCATCGTATCGTTCGCCGCCTGGACTCACCCACCAGATCTTGATCCCGACTTCGACAGTGACGGCTTCTGGCACTCCACCACCATACCTGCAGCAGAGAGAACACGGGCATTAGCAGTTATCAGACAAGAAAGACAAGTACCAGCAAGCGTCCCAACAAAACCATCACCTGCAGTATCGGCAGCAGGACCCAGCCGAGTACCACCACCATCAACACGAGGACCGCCAACGGAAGCAGACCAACTTATGCCCGCCACACGAGAAGCTTGTCGAAGTCCCGCCTCGGTCGTCGCGTTCTTCTCCAACGCCGACATCTACCACCGCTCGCCCGGTCACCGCGCTCCCGACGACATCTGGCACCAACGTCTCGGACATCCTGCAAACAGCACGATACTACAAACAATACAAGCAGAGGTGTTAGAACGTAACGCCCTTCTAACGACGAGCGGCCAAGAACTTCGCCGACCAAGAGCACGATGCTTCACGTGCCCCGAAGCAGATCTTCCTCATCAACCTTTCCCAGCCCATCACAATCCAAGCGCACCCACTTACGCTCCGATGGAAAAGGTCTACAGCGATATTCTAAACATGCCTCGAGACGACACCGAAGCCGACTTCAACTACGTCATCACATTCATCGACGCCGCAACCAGATACGTCTGGCACTTCAATCTCAAAACGCGCGATCAAGCCTTCGAGGCCTTCACCACATGGCTTCCAATCGCCGAACGAGAGTCAGGAACCAAACTCAAGAGTTTCCAGTCAGACGGTGCACTGGAATACCAGTCACAACGCTTCAGGACCTATCTCGCGGAAAGGGGAATCCGACGACTGGTGTCTCTGCCCTATGCTCACCAGCAGCAGGGGGTAGCAGAACGCATGAACCGGACCTTGCAGACGACGATGCGAAAACTGCTTCTGGGGATGAGGCTGCCCAATACACTGTGGCCAGACGCGATGACACATGCAGTCCACCTGCACAACCTGTTGTCCTCGTCATCGCTCCCCAACAACGCATCACCGCACCTGCTGTGGACGGGAAAAAGGGGCAGCACAAAATTACTTCGAGTTTTCGGCTGCATGGTACAATACAGACCCCACACAGCTCGAGCAGGACGCTTCACTCAACGAGCTCGGTGGGGACTACACCTCGGCATCGCCAAACATTTTCACGCGTGGAAGATTCTCGACATACACGACAAAAATACGGTGGCATCACGTGATGTTATCTTCTACGAGCGACTGACGCTGCAGCATTACCTGGACAACATTGCCAACTCAGACGACCCCACCGACGGCTTCGCGGGCCTTCGCTCCTTCGCTGACCATGCTGCCGAGGCTGACGCAGCAGAAGAAGACGTCCCTGGAGCCTCGGAGGCTGCCGGACCACTCCCCTACTGCTCCGTACCTGTTCCACTCGATGAAGATAATCCTCTCGATAGCAACAACCTCGACACCTTTTACCACTTCGCTGACCAAGGCTACGCTACACCACACCCCGTCGACTCGAATATTTCCGAACGCATCGGGCCAAACTTCTTACCCGATCCTGAAGACGGTGATGAAGCAGCTTATCCCGAGAATGAAAACTCCCCTCGACACACCGCCACGGGACTGCAGATCCTAGGACTATGGGTCTCCGTCCAGCACCCGCCGCCGCCTTCTCCGCGCGAGCCGTCGACCCTGTCGCAGGCTCTGGGGGGGGAACATAAGGCACAATGGAAGGAAGCGATGGAAAAAGAGTTAAAAGCTCTGCAAGACCGAGAAACATGGAAACTGGTACCTGCAACGAGCATCAACGGGAAGAACATTCTCTCGGGGAAATGGGTGTACCGCATCAAGACCAACTCAGACGGCTCCATCGAACGATTCAAAGCTCGATGGGTCGTACGAGGCTTCGATCAACGATACGGAACCGACTACACAGAAACCTTCGCTCCAGTCTCCCGTCACACCTCTCTGCGCATCCTACTCGCCATCGCGGCCACGAAGAAACTACCACTACGGCAAATCGACGTTGCAAACGCCTTCTTGTACGCACCTGTGGACGCCGAAATCTTCGTCGAACAACCCCACGGATTCATCGACGACCCTTCAAAAGTATGCCAGCTGGAAAAATCCCTTTACGGGATCAAGCAAGCCCCACGGCTCTGGCAGCAGCACCTTCACGGCCGGCTCGTAAAAATCGGATTCCTACAGCTACCACATGACCAAGGCATGTACCGACTACAGAAGGGAAGAGATTACATTCTGCTCATCGTCTACGTCGACGACCTGCTCTACATCGGTTCTACCACCGACATCGTCACCTGGTTCGAAGGGGAGCTGAAAAGGGACCTGACGCTCACGGTGTCCGACGAGGTGACGCAGTACCTAGGACTGAACGTCGTCGAAGACGACACGGCGTTCTACCTACACGCTGGAAAGTACTCAAGCACCGTCGCGAAGAAATTCGGTCTAACACCGACTGCGGTCCCAACTCCCTACCGCTACGGGAACAACAGTAGCGCCTCCACAAAACTCCCCGCGAAACAAATCCAGGAGTATCAACAGAAGCTCGGCTGTCTACTATTCGCAACAGTAACCTGCCGACCCGACCTATCCTATAGTGCGAGCCAGCTGGCGACACATCTGAAGCAGCCGCAACAGGAAGATCTCGAAGAACTCAATCGAGCGCTACTCTACTTCGTCTCCACGCCGACGATCGGGCTCACCTACAGCAAGGCAACAACACCGTCCGTACGACTACTCGGATACGTCGACGCCGACCACGCGGGAGACAGCGAAAATCGACGGTCTAGGACGGGCTACATCTACCGACTAGAACCTATCGGAACTATCTCCTGGCAGTCGAGCAAGCAGGAGTTAATCGCACTATCCTCGGCTGAAGCAGAGTATATCGCCCTTTGTACTGCGACCAAGGAAGGACTCTACCTACGAGAGTTACTCGAAGAAGCGAAGATCGCGACCCTGCCCACCTTCTCACTCCTCTGCGACAACCAATCTGCGATAAAAATCGCGAACAAGGACGGCTTCGCCAACCGAACCAAGCACATCGCCCTGCGGTACTTCTTCGTCAAGGATGAAATCGCGAAGGGGAGACTTCAACTCAGTTACTGCCCGACGACAGAAATGGCCGCAGATTATCTGACGAAGAAATTGGCGAAAGCAAAATTCGACTACTGCATGCTCCTAACCGGGCAAACAAACGTCACCGGATCTGAACACTCCAGCACTCCAGAAACGAAGGGGAGTGTTGGAAATATCTCAAGGACTTAAGCGTTTCTGAAGTGTAACACTGTACTCGAGGAAGATTACAGGGGAGCACGCGAGTCAACGGAGGTTACACGAGGGGGCGGACAAAGAATGCGAAAGGACTCGAAAGGTCGCAACTGGAGGTTGCGACTGACCGTTACAACATCACGGATGGTAACCGAAGCGGCAATCGAGTCGCTGTGCGACTCGATAAACCGTTCCTGTAACTGTATTCTACAACTGCTTCCTTATCTTCTATATATTGCTGTATGCTTGTTTCTTTAATCAATCACTTGTTCTCACATACTAGTACAAGGGTTCAACTGCCTCAACTTCCGCTGCACTACTCCAAGTCTCAAGTCTCTACAGCTGGGACTTAGTCTCTGCAAAAGATCCTAAGGGCTTTTCTCAGCCCAACACACTAAATGTAGATTTTTTAAGTGTTACACTTTTAAAATTGCGCATTGTGTACGCGAATGCTTGTGATGCAATTTTTGGCATCGCCGAAGCTGCTTCTCCTACTACATAATGTGGTTGGAGGACATTCTTCCTCCACCCACGTCTTCTCATTCTTCACAGCTCAAGTCCAATTGAGTTTGTTAGACTATTCTCCCTTCATTCTATTAGCCTACATCGTTTCATTGTCTTAGGAACTTATAAGCACCCCATTAGGGTGTAGACCAGGGTTTCAGCTAGGATTTGGGGTCGTCTGAGAATCAGACGGGGTTTCAAAGTTTGGTCTGACCATCAGACGAAATTTTTCAAAGAGTCTGAGATTTCAGACGAAACTTTTACACTGGTCTTAAAATTCAGACGAAATTTTTGCGCAGGAATATTCGTCCCTCGTAATTTCGACCTCGATTTGTTCGTTTCCTGCTAAGAGCGTTTTCTTACGAACATCTTCCCAGGCTACCCGATTCCCTGACTCGGTCCTCGGCTGAGAGCGTGCTCAAAGGTTTTCTTGTCAAGCTCACTTCGTTTCAGGATCATATTCTCAACCACTTTAATTCTGCTCGGGTCATAATCGAACTGTAGAGACTCGCGCATCTCTGGAAAAGGTGCGCCTGCGAAGGAGTTTAGAACACGCCCTGAACCTCGTCAGTCTGAACCACACAGAAAGAGCCCAAGAGTAATTGCACGGCAATGAAGCGTGTGAGTCTGGGAACAGGGAGGTCTGTGCAGAGGCCGTAGGAAAATGCTCTAAAGGCGTGTGTCTTACGGTTCCACTTCTGGAAGTTCCGGAACTATTTCCGGAACTGGCGAAAACTTTGCCTGGGGAGGAGCTCGCGAAGCCCTGTCGAAATGAGCTGCGAAATGTGTAACCAGACCCGGTTCCGGAACTTGCTGAGTTTCGGAACTTAAAGACACACGCCTTCAGATTCTGGCAGGAACACTTGCAGGTGGCGCGACGCGCCACGTGCAGGCAGCCCCCTCTCTTTGCCCAGCAATTTCAGGGTTCCTTCCACCTCGCCCCCAGTCCAGTCAAGCGACAAAGCAGAAAAAACAGTGTGGAAGCAGGGACTTAGCTGGAAACCGGGCTGCAAGGGGTGTGTGGGGGAATGTTTCTTGCAGTTAAGGACTTCGCCGGTTTTTTTGGATTGGTGTGGTGTGTTGATGAATGAATCTGGTTTGGGAGACTTAACCGAAAATTTGTTGTTGCGAGGGGTGTGTGGAGGAATATCTCTTGTGTGGGGCACTTAGCCGGAAAAACTAGGTATTCTAGGGGTGTGGGGGAATGTATCTGGCAGTCGAGGACTTAGCCAAAAAAATCTCACCGACCACGACCAGGATGGCAGAGTCTGGGGCAGTGGGGAGGTGACCCATTGGCGCAGTGGGATAATGGGCGATTACTGTCAGACGAAATTGTACGCGCTATCTGACATTTCAGACGAAAAAATACACCAAGTCTGAACTTTCAGACGAAATCTTATGACCGAGATGGACAATCAGACGAAATAATTCACCCCGTAAAAAAATCAGATGAAAGCAAAAAAACAGGTCTGATTTTCAGACCATCAGACGGATTTCGTCTGATATCTGAGGCCCACACTGTAGACACCCAAGTTGGGTTCCCAACCTTGTTGGGTTCCCAAATTGGTTGGGCTCCCAATTATTGGAACCCCCAATAATCCCAACCAAGATTATTGGACCCACCAATAATCTTGGCTAGGATTATTGGACCCCCAATAAGTTGGCCAACTCAACTTATTGGGGTCACCAATAATCGTGGTCACCTCCCAACCAAAACCCCCCCTCCCTCCTACTCCTCACCTATGTATACCCACTCCTTTCCTAATACAATTATCACTTCAGATTCTCACAGAGTTCCCATCCCGATTTTTTTGCTCCACCACTCTGGCGAAGTTGAAAACTCTCCCTCGCGGACAAGCCCCCTCTATCTCCTCGCCGATATTCTTGAGCATAACTTGTCTGCAATGGCTCCCTCCCAACGCCTCGAATATTTCGGAGCCCGACAATCATGCTCACGAAATTGCGGCCGATCGCAACAAGTGTCGGGCAGACGAAGGCGAAATTGCCCTCGAGCTGCTACTGTGCAGTGGCGAGGTCAACCCCGTTGACCCCAAGAAGCCACGTGTCAAATGTAACTTAGGTTGTTACTGTAGACTATACTGGATTGTGCCTTAGAGGGTACAACACCCTAGTCTACATATCCTTGTACACACACATTCTAGTTCAATCATTTTTCTTTCTGATATGGTATCATAGTAGGTTAGATCCCCCCCTAGCCCGCTCACGCTTCCGCCCCTACGTTCCTGGCCGGCCCCCTGGCCGTTGCGCTCGTCCCTAGCCGGCCCCCCTGGCCGTTCGCGCCCGTCCCTAGTCGGCCCCCTGGCCGCTCGCGCTCGTCCCTAGCCGCCCCCCCCTGGTCGTTCGCGCCTGTCCCTAGCCGGCCCCTGGCCGTCGCGCTCGTTCCTAGCCGGCCCCCTGACCGTCGCGCCCGTCCCTAACCGACCCCTGACCGTTCGCGCCCGCCCCTAGCTGGCCCCCTGGCTGTCGCGCTCGCCCTTTGCCGGCCCCCTAGCCGTCGCGCCCGTCTCTAGCTGGCCCCCTGGTCGTCGCACCCGCTCCTAGCCGGCCCCCCTGACCGTCGCGATCGCTCCTAGCCGGCCCCCCTGACCGTCGCGCTCGCCCCTAGCCGGCCCCCTTGCCATTCGAGCCCGTCCCTAGCCGGCCCCCTGGCCGTTCGCGCTCGTCCATAGCCGGCCCCCTGGCCGTTGAGCCCCTTCTAGCCGGCGCCCTGGCCGTTTCGCGCCCGCTCCTCGCAGGTCCCCTGGCCGTTTGAGCCCGCTCCTAGCCATCGCGGCTGCTTCTAGCCGCCGTCGCGGCCGCTTCCTGCCGTCCCTCGGCCGCCACTAGTCGTCCCGGCCGCCCCTCGTCGTCGTGGCCGCCCCTAGCCGCCGCCGCTGCCATCTCCAGCCGCCTCGGTCGCTCCTGCCGTCGCGGCCGCCCCTCGCCGCCGTCGCGGCTGTCCTTGGCCGCCGTCGCGGCTGTCCCTGGCCGCCGTCGTGGCTGCCCCTGGCTGTCGTCGCGGCTGTCCCTGGCCGCCGTTGCGGCTGTCCCTGGCCGCCGTCGCGGCCGTGTCTACTTGCCGCCCGCCGGCCGACCCCTGCATTTGCGCCGTCGCCGGCCCGCCGCTGCCTCGGGTTCGGCCCGTTCTTCCCAATCAGCACCGCCCTCCGAAACCCCTCCGGTACCGTACTGCATCGCTTTGTACCGCACTACACCGCTTTGTATCGCACTGCACCGCACTGCACCGCATTGCACCGCACTGTACCATACTGCACCGCTTTGTACTGCACTACACCGCACTGCACCGCACTATACCGCACTGTACCGCACTGCACCGCACTACACCGCACTGCACAGCACTGCACCACACTGTCCTACTCTACACTGCCCTCTATTGACATTCATGGTGGCGGTGCTTTGCTTTGACGCTGAGGGCCAGCCGATTGAGTTTGATGCGTGGCTTGCTGACCTCCGTCGCCATCTCACTGGTCAGCGGCAGGATGGCCACTCGCTGTCTGTCCATCTTGATCGTACCCTCCCCTGCCGTGACCCCCCCGCTGCCCTGTCTCCTGACCCCTCGTCCGCTGAGCGTGAGTCCGCTGCAGCCGCTGCCCTTGCTCGCTCTATCTGGCTGTCCCGTGACGCTGTTGCACAGCTTGCTATTAGCAATGCCCTCCCCCTGTCCGAGCGACCTCGCTTCAGGTCTATCACCACTGCCCAGGCTTTCCTAGATGCTGTTGTCCAGCGCTATTCCACCCCGCCTACTGCCTTGGTCGGTCGTCTGATCCTCCCCATGCTCTTTCCTGACCTTGCATCGTTCCCCACTGTCGCCGACCTGGCCGCTCACCTGCGCACCATAGACGAGACCTGGCGTGCTGCCTGCACCCCCACACAGCTTCTAGCCCACCAGCTGCCCCTCACCTCTACTCTCTACCTGCTAGCCACCCGCCTCCCTGACCGTCTTGCCACTGCCCGTGACCGCTTTCTTAGCGTCCACCCAGCAGACCTTACCCTCACTGACTTTGTTGACACCCTGTCTGCTATAGAGGCCCGCCACCGCTCTATCGCTCAGACCAGCGGTACTGTACCGGTCCCTATCTTTCAGGGTTGTGCCCCCACTCAGTGCACCTTCTCCGACGGTTCTGCTGCTGTGGCTGAGATTGCCGCTGCCGCACAGGTTCGTCCGAGGAAGGGTCGCCGCCCCAAGGCTGGACGTGGCGACGGGGGTGGGGGTGCGGGTGTAGGTGGTGCTGGAGTTGGGTCACCTAGTGGTGGTGCTGACGCGTGGACCCTGATAGGTGCAGCCGAGCAGCCGTCTCAGCAGTCGCCGGTGTTGCCGCCGGACCCGCGCCAGCCGCAACAGCCGCAGCCGCCGCAGCTGCAGCCGTCGCCGCAGCCGCAGTAGTCACAGCAGCAGCAGAGGCGGACGAGTCATCTTCCGCCTGGGTGGCCCGGCGCTGGTGGCAGCGCTGGACGTGGTGGCGGTGCTCGTGGTGGGCTGCCGAGTGGTGGTTCGGGTGCCGCGCGCTGTCAGAACCTGCTTCACACCAGTCCTCGCCGTGGCTTCGCTTGCGGTAAGATCGGTCATACCTCCGTCCGCTGTTGCCGTCGCCAGGACGACCTATTTCGTCAGCGTTTCGGCCCGTCGCCCGAGCTCCCAGACTGGCACAGCTTGCTTAGTCGTAGGGTTCAGATTTTTGATCTGGAGATGGATGAGATTGTTGCTGCTCTGTACCGAGGCCACCACTGGTGCCCCCCTTACCACGTTCTCCCGGGACCCGGTGTCCGGACTGTTCACACTGGACACTGTGACCAACCCGGCTGGGACCCCCCATCAGGTGGCTGCGTCTACCCAGGTTGCTGCTGCCTGCTCCTATCAGTCACTCACCCACCCGACTCTCCTATGGCACCACCGTCTAAGTCACCCTGTGCTCCTGCGTCTGCGTAACATGTCACAGCACGATCTCGTCCTAGGCCTCCCTGGGTTGTTCTCTGAGTTTCCCTCCTCCCCTGCCCCACCTTGCATGCCTTGTGTCGAGGGCCGGCTTCGCCGTGCTCCTCACTCCTCCTCGTTTCCCCCTACCGCCGCACCGCTACAGACTCTGCACATGGACGTCTGGGGCCCCGCCCCCGTCCATGGGCCGCGTCGAGAGCGCTACTTCCTAGTGCTTGTTGACGACTACACTCGCTACACCACCGTGTTCCCCCTCGAGCGGAAGGCCGACGTGCCTGACGTTCTTATCCCGTGGCTTGTTGCTGCGCGTGTCCGTCGCGGTCTCCCTGTCTTGCGCCTCCACTTTGACCGTGGTGGCGAGCTTGCCTCTGGTGTCCTTGGTCGTTTCTGTCGTGCGAAGGGCATCACCCAGACGTTCACCTTGCCGGACTCCCTGCAGCAGAATGGGGTCGCTGAGTGACGCATCGGTTTGGTCATGGAGGTGGCTCGCACCTCCATGATCCATGCCGGTGCACCCCATTTTCTGTGGCCGTTCGCCGTTCGCTACGCCGCTCACCAGCTTAACCTGTGGCCGCACCCCCAGCAACCTCAGGTTTCGCCGACCCTCCTTTGGTCTGGGTCACCTGGTGACGCGTCTGCGTTCCTCGTCTGGGGCTGTCTTGCTCACGTTCGTGCCTCTGGCACGGACAAGCTTACTGCCCGCACCCTTCACTGTGTCTTCCTCGGCTTCCCCCTTGACGCGTCTGACTGGCACTTCTACCACCCGCCGTCTCACCGGTTCTTTCGCTCCCGTGACGTCACCTTTGACGAGTCCGTCTCCTTCTTCTGCCGCTTCCCCCACCGAGGTCCCGTGGTTACCCCCCGCCTTTTCCTGGTCACCCCTTCCCCGGTCGTCGCCACCCCTCCTCCTCCCCCTCCCCGTCCTGCCCCCTCTGGTGTGTCCCACGTCACCCCACTTACGTCGGTTGTACCGGTTGAGGAGTCTACTGACTCTGGTAGTCCTGCGGCGTAGTCCTCGCCGCCTGCCCCTTCTCAGGTGTCCCCTCCTCCGCCGCCTCCGCAGCCGCAGTCGCCACCGCAGTCGCAGCCGTCGTCACCGCCGCCGCCGTCGCCGCAGCCGTCGTTGCGACCACCACCGCCGCAGCCGTCGCCGCAGCAGTTGGTTGCCTCTGGGGGTGCTGGAGTTGGGGTGGGTACTAGTCCTGGGACTCCTGTCGTGGCTTGTCCCAGCGAGCCTGGGGGTGGTACCTGTGCTCGAGGGGTTCTGAGCTCTGGGGGTGTTTCTTCTGGGGGTGCTGGTGAAGAGTGTTCTGGAGGTAGCCGCCCGGCAGCTTGCGGTCCCCGTGTCGGCGTCACACCGCCGTCACAGCAGTCCCCGCCGGTGTCCGCTCTTCGCCTGCTCGGCCTTCCTTCCCCTGACCCCGTGCCCGTGCCTCCTCCTCCTCCTGTCTCCGGCCCTGTGTTCCCTCCTCCGGACGCGTCTCCGGCCCGTTTCCCCCCCTTGTTCCCCTCCTGTGTTCCCTCCTCTGTCTCCTGACCCGACTCCGCCGTCTCACGTCTGGTCTCGCCGTCCCTCCCGTGCTTGACCTGTCTCCCCTGTCTCGCGCTCTCACCCTATGTTGCTTCGTTCCCACGCATCTTGTCCTTCCCTTCTCCCGTCGCCCCCTCCGTCCTCCCTTGTCGTTGCTCCCCCCCCTCTGTCTGACTACCTACGTGCCGCTCGTCCTCTTGTTCCTCGGGTCCTTGCCTCTCTCGTTACCGACCCGTCTGTTCCGGTTTTGAGCCTTGACGCCCTTGTCGTTGCGGTCACTGACTTCGCCTCTACCCGCCGCCTTGACTACGCCACCGCTCTGGTCTCTGACCCTGCCTGTCCTCCGTCTGTCGGGGGTGCTCCTGCCCTTGGCAGTGACGTCCCAGAGGACCGCCAGTACGAGCTTGCTTTCCTGTCCGAGGCTGCTCCCCATCTCTGTTCCATGCTTCTAGTCCCTGAGGGTGACCCCGACGCTTTCGACATCCCGACCCCTCGCACTTACGCTGAGGCGGTCTCAGGACCCTGGGCCTCTCAGTGGATAGCTGCCATGGAGCAAGAGATGGCATCTTGGAGATCCACCGGCACCTACGTCGACGCAGTTCCCCCACCTGGGGTGAACATAGTTGATGGCTGATGGCTCTTCAAGGTGAAGCACCCTCCTGGAGAGCCGCCTGTGTTCAAGGCGCGCTACGTGGCTAGAGGTTTCAGTCAGCGTGAGGGGGTGGACTTCTTCCAGACCTTCGCTCCGACCCCGAAGATGACTACTCTTCGGGTGCTACTATATGTAGCAGCGCAGCGTGACTACGAGCTTCACACCCTCGACTTCTCCAGTGCGTTTCTTCAGGGCAGTCTACACGAGCAGGTCTACTTGCTTCGCCCTCAGGGCTTCAATGGTACCTTCCCTCCTGGGACCCAGTGGCTCCTTCGGCGCCCCGTCTACGGCCTGCGGCAGGCTCCCCGTGAGTGGCACGACACGCTGCGTGCTACGCTTGATGAACCTACAGTTCTTTCCGTCCTCTGTAGACCCCTCGCTCTTCGTTCGTGCTGGCCAGACTCCGTTCTACATCCTTGTTTACGTAGACGACCTGGTCTTCACCACAGCAGACAGGGACGCACTGGCCTCCATGAAGGAAGAGCTGCCGAAGAGACACACCTGCACTGACCTTGGAGAACTGCGCCACTACCTTGGCTTGCAGATCTCCAGGGACAGAGCAGCCCGCACCATCACTTTGACTCAGTCACACTTGGTGCGCCAGGTCCTTCAGAGGTTCGGCCTTCAGTTCTCCTCCGCACAGCCTACTCCTCTGCCTCTAGACCACAGGCTCTCCGCTCCAGTTCCTGAGGAGTCAGCAGAGCCCAGTGGTCCTTACGCAGAGCTGGTGGGTTGCCTCATATATGTGATGACTTGCACTCGCCCAGATCTCGCATACCCTCTCAGCATCCTGGCTCGCTTTGTGGCTACTGGCAGACACCGACCTCAGCACTGGTCTGCCGCTAAGAGGGTTTTGCGTTATCTTGCAAGTACATCAGGCATGGGGTTAGTGCTAGGAGGACGTAGGCCAGTGGTCCTTACTGGACACACAGACGCTTCTTGGGCAGACGACGCCGAGACCCTCAGGTCCTCACAGGGCTACTGCTTCAGCCTTGGTTCAGGTGCCGTCTCGTGGAGAGCTACCCGCTCCTCGTCTGTTGCCCAGTCCAGCTGTGAGGCCGAGATCTATGCTGGTGCCATGGCGGCACAGGAGCTCAACTGGCTGACCTTCTTGCTCACTGACTTAGGTGAGCAGCCTAGCTCTACCCTGGTCCTGTACGCTGACAACAGGGCCATGATCCTCCTGTGTCAGGAGCCTCGACTCGAGGGCAGACCGAAGCACATTCAGCTGCGGTACTTCCTCCTGCATGAGCTGCAGCAGCGTCGCCAGGCGCGCGTAGTACACTTGGCCTCCGGTGCCAACACAGCTGATATCTTTACGAAGGCGCTTGCGCCTAAAGATCTTCAGCGGCACTGTGTACAGCTGGGTCTCATTCCTGTAGCCTCTCACTTGCTAGGGCCTTGACTTTGTACTGTCCTTTATATATATATTTTACCTTGACTGGCCTTGTGGCCTCTCCCAGTGGCTGGACTAGTAGTGCCGCCCTGGGCTTGCTCTTGCCTTGTCTGTACTCCTTTTGATTGGTCTTTAGACCCTTGTCTCAGAGGCTGGACTAGTAGTGCCGCCCTGAGCTGCTTCTTCCCTTGTTAGGCACTGCCCCTATATAGTCTAGGGGGTGTGTCAAATGTAACTTAGGTTGTTACAAGCCTCTACCTGGTTGCTCAGATCCACGTGGGACTGAATTCCCGGACTGCAGAACTCTAGTAGGCGTAGAGTATGATTGCAGTATAGCAGGAAAACATACAAGTGAGAAACGATTTGCCTACTGAGTCTTAGTCTATTTACACCTCAGTCTCCCCTGCTACCTTGCCTCTCTCCAATCCTTTCCTTGGGAACTGAGATTCCCTGCTCCCTGCCTTTCGTTAGATGGGGCTATTGCTGACGTCCCTTCCGCCCCCCTCTCGTTCTTGCTCGCGCCTCGAAATTGTAAGGTCCCATTATCCTCGCGGCCCGATCCCTGAGCTCCTTCATACTTTGTATTGTACAGCACTGTACCTCTTTCTCCCGTATTTTGTATTTCAATTATGCAACTCTTTCTTCTGATAATTCTCTGCTTCACTCACCTCTTCCCCTGCTGCTGTGTTAACCGTGGGGAGGCTCGTGCCTTCCAACGGGTACCGCGACAGCTGTCGTGCTTCCCCCTTTTCTCCTCCTTTTCTTAACTATCCTTCCTCCCTGCCCTCCTTCTTCCTTTGTCCATTCCGTCTCTGGTAGGTGATGATTGCTGCTGTGGGACCAAGCACCCTTGCCCCCTCCCTGGTTGAATCGATCCCTCCCTTCGTTCAGCCATGGGATCCTTCTGCTTGGTCCTGCCTTCTCCTGCTGCAGCGACATTCGTGATGTGCTCTCTCCTCCTCTCCCCTTTCGCATTCTCCAGCACCAATACACCTGAGGTGCGTATCTCCTGCACGCGCCACTTCTCGGTACCCACTGACATTTCCAGGGTGTCTTTCCTTGCCTTTCTCAGGTATACTTCCCTCCCTACGGCCACGTTGCTAGCTGTCCCTCCTACCTCTCTTTCTCGTCTCTGCTGGTACCTGCATGCATCTCTTAGCTGCGCTGTGTGCAGGTTCTCTAGGGCTGCCGGCATCAGCTCCTTCAGATACTCCTCTCTTCGCATCGCCTCCGCCGCCCACGCCTCCGCCGACATCTCACTCATTGACCCGGTAAGTAGCTTGGGCACTTCAACTGGTAGCACGGGCTCTCTGCCATATAGCAAGTGATATGGGGACATGTCTTTCAGCGCTGACTGCTTTGCGAACCGATAGCCTGCCAGCACCCATGGCAGTTCTGCATCCCACTCCATCTTTTTCTGCTCTCCGTACGCTCGCAGTCCTCTTTTGATCGTTTGTATCATCCGTTCTGTCAATCCGTCAGACTGAGGATGGTATCGAGAGGTCACTCGATGCGTGATGCCCACTTCTTTTAACAGCTCCGTGAAGCTGCCTTGGAACTCAGTGCCTTGGTCAGTCAGCACCTCCCCACATGCCCCAAATCTGGTGAGGACTTGATCCAGAAATGCTTCTCGGATTAGCCCACTGTTCTTGCTGGCTATTGCCCGCGCCTCCACCCATTTTGTCGTATGCTCGATCATCACGACTATATACATCTTCCCTCTTCTGGATAACGGTAGTTCGCCTGCTAGGTCCAAGGACCACCTGAATCCTAGACCCCGTATGGGCAGCGACTGCAATTCTTCCCTGCCCTTCTCCAGCGCCGCCTTGTTCCTCTGGCACGCCTCACACCCCTGCACCCACTGCGCCACGTCTCTCCTCATTCCCGCCCACCAGTAGGTGGTGCATAGTAGCTGTCTTGTTCTGGCTCCCCCGTAGTGCCCTAACTTCTCGTGCACTTGTTGTACGATCTGCTCCCTCTCTCCTGGCTCTGGCACCACCTTCCATCCTTCCGACGTGCGTAGCTGCATCTGATTCTGAAACCACCGGTAATGTCCTCCTCTATTCCTCGCCCTAGCCGTTACTGCTGCAGTGTCTTCGGTCAGCCCTTGTACCCAGTGGAGTGTCTCCTTATCTAACCAAATATCCGCTGCCTTCTGTTCCTTCAGCTCCTGCACATCTCCCTTCTCTTCTCCCTCCGCTGCCACTGCTGCCCATTGCTGCTCTACCGCTGGGGGAGGATTCCGTGACAGCCCGTCTGCATGTTGTAGCGTCTTTCCTGCGCGATGCTTGATGATGAAGTCGTACTCTTGCAGTCGCATTGCCCACCGTGCATTCCTCCCCGTCAAGGATCCGTTGGTCATTAGCCACAGGAGTGGCTAGTGGTCTGTTATCAGCTTGAATCTTTGTCCTTGCAAGTAGGCCCTGAAGTGTGTCACTCCCCACACAGCCGCTAATCCTTCCCCTTCGTATGAGCTGTAGTTGGCTTCTGTTGCCGTGCAGCTTCGACTGGCATACGCTACCACTCGCTCTTCTCCCTCTACCTCTTGACACAATACTGCTCCCATGCCCATGCTGCTCCAGTCAGTGTACAGCGTGAACGGTAAGTCTCTCCTTAGTAGCTATTGTACTGTTCCAGCTTTAATGGCCTCTAGTAGGTCCCTTCTTGCCTGTTCCTCCTCTGGTTCCCACTTCCAGGCTTGCCCTTCCCTCAGCAGTTGGTTCAGCCGGTGAGCTCTCTTGCTGAAATTGGGGATGAAGCGTCGGTAGTAGTTTAGAAACCCCAGGAGTGCCCTCAGTGCTCCCTTGTCCTTCAGTGCCCCCAGCTTGTCAAGCACTGCCACCTTTGCCTCCTGTATGCCCATCTTTCCTCCTCGGACTTCAAATCCCAGGTAAGTAATTGTCCTCCTAGCTATCTTGCACTTCTCCGGATGACAGGTTAGTCCCGCTGCTGCTATCGCGTCCAGCGTTGCTGTATATCACCACGTCATCAATGTAGCACGCTGCTGATGGGACCGTCTTCAGTACCTGATCCATGACTCGCTGGAACACGGCTGAGGCATTCCTCAGTCCGAATGGTATTACATTCCACTCGTACAGGCCATCCACGCCATGGAAGGCGGTCTTGCATTTGTCTTCTTCCTTAATTACTATCTGATTGAACCCCTGCCACATGTCCAGTGTTGAAAAGATGACCGCTCCTTCCAGCCTGTCGAAGATCTCCTCTGCCGTGGGCATGTTGTAACGATCTGCTTTTGTTATGCGGTTTAACTCCCGGTAGTCACCGCACATTCTCCTGGCCAGTACTTCTCCGGTCAAGTCCGTCCTCGCTGCTACCACCGTAGCCGCTGCGTATGCCGAGTTTGACGGTCGTATCAGTCCTGCATCTAGCAGCTCTCTGCACTTGCCGCGACAGATCTCTTCGTCTCCCGGGCTCATCCGCCGCCTCCTCTGGTAAATGGGCACCGTGGTGTCCAGAGGTAGCTCAAGCTCGTGCAGCTTGCACTTCCCCAATTCTTGCAGGGTGTATGCGAAGGTCTTCCGATGCTCTGCTAACACTTGCTGTATCTCTGCCGCCACCTTGCTGTCCAGTTCCGAGCTCACCTCCCATTGTCTCTGGCCTTCCTTTTCTGTCTTCTCTTCCTTCTTTGTGTCTTCGTCTTCTTCCTGCTTTTCTTCTTGTGTCAGGTACACTCGGCTGGCCTTGATCTGCCCCCTGTTCCCTTTTCCAGGCTGCCCTCTCGGCCCTTCTTCCTCCTGCTGCTGTATCATCTCCTTTATCAGCCACCGTAATGCATGCTGATCCATTGCCCGCCCCAGGGCGGCTCTTCGCTCTCGCTCTGGTACTCCTCGTGCGGCTGTTGCCCCTGGTATGTATCCCATCGCCAGTTCTCGCTCGGTTGCTGTAGGTTCTTCCCACTGTCCTCTTGCTCTGTCATACACCATGCCTGGTCCTGGCTTGCCTTCTTCCATCACAAATCCTCGGGCTCCTTCGTAGGCCACCAAGGTAGGCCATAACCTTCTTGGCTCGCCCGGTTTATTGCACTGCAGCTGCTTAGGGTGGTCTCGCTTTTCCACCGGGGCTGGCGTTCGTCCTGGCTCTAGAATGTCCGCTACAAGCAAGTTCGTGTCTCTTCTCAGGTCAGCCAGTCCTTGCTCCAGCTTCTCAGTCCCCACTGCGTTTTGCCAGTATCTCCTTACTCGCCTTGCTCTTGCTCCATTCAGAGCGGCATCCCAACTCACGCCTGCCCCCAGCTCCACCACTACCTTCTCTTGCGTGGCTCTCACTGGCTCTCGTGGGTTTCCCATCATGTCCACATGCTCCACTATGTAGCAGCACTGTGATCCCCCTTCCTTGATCCATTTTAGCACTTGCAGTAGCTCATCCAGTAGCGCCGTGCGCGAATCTCCCATTCCCCGCCCCTTGCCGGCTCGCGAGGTGCCTTGACACTCCCATCCCGCCACTACTAGATCCACCTGTCCCCATCCCCATACTGTTGCTTCGTTTAGCTGGCGCACGTCCCAAGCTCCTTCCCGCTTAGCTTCCTCTATCACCGCTCTGCATATCTGTCCCGGATACCTTCGTTGCAGCTGCTCCGCATGATGCCAGGCCATGCGCCTGGCCGTTGGGTCTATCTCCACTAAGATCCATCTCTGCACGACCAGTCCTGCCTCCAGTGCCACTGCTAATCCTGCTCCTATGCCGCCGAAGAGTTCCACCAGCGTGATGGGCTGGTCTCCCAGCGTCGCTTCCACTTGCTGATTGAGGTTCACTGTCTTGCCTTGCGCAGCTCCCTTCACCTCATCACCGCTCCTTTTCTCCTCTGCCCTCCACAGAGGCTCGGTGGCTCTCAAGGCCCTCCGTGGCTCCATTTTTACAAATCGCACCGGCAGATCTCCCTGTGCCCCTCCCTCCTTCCAGTACTCGGTTCTGAAGGTAAGCTTCTCCCCCCATGCGTCAATCTGTGCCCCGATCTTGTAGATTAGCTCCATTCCAACCAGCAAATCGTAGTCGTCTGATTCAGACAGCCCACACTGTACCCGTATCTTTGTCTCCTCTTTCTGCCCTGGCAGCAGCGCTATCTCAACCGGCTCCTTCGTACTCGGCATCCACTTGGGTGGCCCTCCTTCCGCCGTCATGATAAGCATCCCCTTGCTCACTGTTTCCAGCTTCCCTTGTTGTCTCAGCCGCTCGGCTAACTTCCTCCCCATTAGTACACTCTGGGCTCCAGTATCAATGATGGCATTCTCTACCTTCATCCCTTGTACGGCAATGGTCCCGGATTCTGCCAGCAGCGCGGTCGTGAGACACACCAATCTGTCTTCCGGATGGCGCTTAGCTCGTTCTCCCTTCTCCTCTGCTGTTTCTCCTTTCCTCCTGCCTTGCATCACCGTCTTCTGTTCCTTCCTGCCGTCAGCACCTCCGCTCCTCAGTCCTAACTCATCTCTGTCTCGCGGCAGCATCGCCACGAATGCATACTCGGACTCGGGATCCTCCTCGTACTCTGCTTCCTCCTCATCATCTTCCCACGCCATCATGGCCTTAGCAGGATCTTCTCGGATTTCTGCTTTTCCCAGCTGGGCCTTCGGCTTCTTCACTTCCTGCTCCAGCTCTTGCTCTCTCGTTGATCTCCCAATTTGTCCTCCTCCCCTCCTGTAGCACTGGCTGCTGATGTGCCCTTTCTTTCCGCATTCGTTGCAGGTGGGGGCTTTGGGGCAGTTTCTCCTGAAGTGACCCATCTGCCCGCAATGGTCACACTTGATGCCCACCCCGTAGTCCTTGCGCAGATGCCCAACTTCTCTGCACTTGTGGCAGCGTCGCTCGTCTCTCGGTCTCTCCTGCTTTTCTTTTTCTGACCGCCGTGCTTCGGTCGCCGACCACATCGGCCTTCTCCGTTCTGCAGGCCTCCAAGCTCCCCTCATCATATGCACATATCGCCTACCTTCCTCTGCCTCTTTAGCGATCTGGTATACCTGCCTAAGCGTGGCTCTAGATCGGATTGGGTATAGAGTGCCCCTCATCTCATCAACTAATTCTTCTTCTAACCCCCCCAAGAACTTCGTGACCATGAGACGGTCTTCTAGACAGTTAAGGTCCTCTGATAACTCCACCAGCCTATTATAATACGCCAGCAGTGATTCCCCTCTGCTTCTCCTAAACTCGCTGAACTCTGCTACACTCTCGGCAGTGTCGCCTGGGAATTGCTCACGTAGGATGTCGTAGAAATCGTCTATCAGCCTATGAGGTGGGATTTCCCCCCGCTCACACCGTCATAACAATCTCGCCCGCTCCACTCGATAGTGCGTCTGCGCTTCCCCTCGCAGCGTCTTTCCCAAGCCCCTAAAGAACTCCACGGGGTCTAGCCCTTCTCGATCCCAGCAGTAGCGTATGTCTTCAATCAGCATGATGTAGTTTTTCAGAGACGGTTCTTCGCTTGGCTCACCCGAAAATATCTCTGGTACCTCGATCTTCGGTATGCTGGCTGCTGCAGTTCGTCCGCTCTCCCAGGAACTCGTTCTCCCGGCTTCGCCCGCGACGTATCTTCCGGCCGCCCGCTCTGGCATAGATCTCGGTCCGTGCTCCCTTGACGATTCATCCTGCTGTCTTTCGTCTTCTTTTCCCGTTTCCTCTTGCTCCCGCGGTCCTCCTTCGTGCCGCAGCGCTTCTCCTCTCGTATTTTGCCCGGATCCGTCGCGCGTCCGCGGATCGGGCGAGATGACTCTTTCTCCGCGCGGATCCCGTCCGGATCCGCCGTGATACCGCAGGTCTGACGGATCGATGTCGTCTCTGCGTGTGCCCCCTGCTCTCGCTGCTGCTGAAGCATCCGCTTCACGTTCGTCAGGCTCGTGCGGTCCTGCCCGGTACACCAGCCGCAGAGGAGGCTGCACATCCTCCCCCACGCTCCTCGCTGGATTCCTTGTCCCCGATCTGAGACGACGTCCCTCGGGACTCGTTTCCCGACTCATCGCTGCGCGCGTCGCAACGCGCCATTCGCGTCCTCTTTTTTTTTTTCTCTCTCACTTGTATGTTACAAGCCTCTACCTGGTTGCTCAGATCCACGTGGGACTGAATTCCCGGACTGCAGGACTCTAGTAGGCATAGAGTATGATTGCAGTATAGCAGGAAAACATACAAGTGAGAAACGATTCGCCTACTGAGTCTTAGTCTATTTACACCTCAGTCTCCCCTGCTACCTTGCCTCTCTCCCATCCTTTCCTTGGGAATTGAGATTCCCTGCTCCCTGCCTTTCGTCAGATGGGGCTATTGCTGACGTCCCTTCCGCCCCCCCCTCGTTCTTGCTCGCGCCTCGAAATTGTAAGGTCCCATTATCCTCGCGGCCCGATCCGTGAGCTCCTTCATACTTTGTACAGTACAGCACTGTACCTCTTTCTCCCGTATTTTGTATTTCAATTATGCAACTCTTTCTTCTGATAATTCTCTGCTTCACTCACCTCTTCCCCTGCTGCTGTGTTAACCGTGGGGAGGCTCATGCCTTCCAACGGGTACCGCGACACCCTATATAGTCTAGGGGGTGTGTCAAATGTAACTTAGGTTGTTACTGTGGACAATACTGGATTGTGCCTTAGAGGGTACAACACCCTAGTCTATATATCCTTGTACACACACATTCTAGTTCAATCATTTTTCGGGTTATGTTGCAGCTCGCCCATATCCTTGCACTTGAGTCGGCTGCCCAGTTCGTGCTTGACCCGTTCCGGCTCAGCACTGTCGACAATGACGAGGATCATGTTGTCGGCGTAGGCAACGATGTAGAAGGGGGAGGGAGAGGTGCGGAGGAAGAGGCTGGGGTTAGAGTGAGAGATGCGGAAGCCCAGCTCTCCAAGGGTGGCGGCAAGCTTGGCGCGCCACTCCCGGGGACCTGCTTGAGGCCATACACGAGGCGAGGCAGCTACCAAACGGAGTCAAGAGGGAAGGGGAGGTGAAAGCCGGCAAGGCACTCCATGTAGATCATTTTGCGGAGGACACCCTGTAAGAATGCGTTGGAGACATCCATCGAGTGGATCTCCATGTTGAGGCGGGCGACGAGGCCAAGCACAGCAGGGCTGGCGGCGGGCTCAGCAGTGGGGCCCTTGGCGCAGTAGCGGTGTACCGCTGCGTGAAGCCCTTGGCGCAGTAGCGGGCTTTGTAGACCAGCACCTCTCTTGGCAGTTGCTTCACTCGAAACACCCACTTCCTCTTCCTACATTAGTGATGGAGGGGGCCCGAGCACATCAACAAAAGAGGAGTTGGCAATGAAGGCCTCCAGGTCCTTGATGAAGGCAACCAGTAAGAGGTGGGCATCGGGGCACGCATCGCCTCCTTGTACGTGGCGGGTACGCAGATGGTGGGAGTGGTGGAGAAGTTGAAATCCAGCGTGCCAGACATGTCAAACGTGATTGTAAGGTGAGAGGGATCGTGGAGGTGGAGGTTGAGGAACTCCTCATGGGAGTCCTCAAAGAGGGAGGAGTGAAAGGTGGAGGCTGCTGCTGCTTCTACTGCCAATACATCCCTGACCGCTGTGGCTGCTGCATCCCTGGCCGGTGCGGCTGTTGCACCTCCGGCCGCTGCGGCTACTGCACCCCTGGCTGTTGTGGCTGCTGCACAGGTATTCTGCTGCACGGTAGGACAGATATTGGGGGGCACAGCTGCACTAGTGTTCTGCTGCAAGATAGCTTGAAAGAGGCGGCGGAGGAGAGGGGAGAAGGAAGGGAGGGCAGAGGTGGAAAGGGTGACGGGGAGAGGGGCACCAAGGATGGAGTTACGTGACCTAGTGCGAGTGAGGATGGAACGGGTGGGGGAAGCAAGAGGTGAGGGGGGAGGGGGTTGTGGGGGAGGAGGGGGAGGGGGAAATGGGTTGGGGCACCAGAAGAAGAGTGGGATGGGGAAGCAGGAGGAGGGAGAGGGAGAAGATTAAAGAATATCACCAAAGGAGGGGGGAGCACTGGGGACTAAGGTGGAGGGAGGGGGTGGGGGCAGGGGGAGGATGGGAGGGGGGGGAGGAGAGGAGTAGGGACAGTGTCAGTCCAAGTAAGGGGTCAAGGAATTGTGGGGAGATGGTCAGTGGTGGGAGGCAAGGAGTAATAGGGACTAGACTCATCAAAGTCCACATCCCGACTACAAAGAAGGCGACCTGAGGGAGGATGAAGGAAGAGGTAGTCAGGAGAGGAGGGATTGTGATTAAGGAATATACAGGGGAGAGTACGAGAGGCGGTTTTCCCGCAGTGTGGGGGAGGTCAGAAGGGTGAATGAGAACATAAGCCCTAGAGCTCCATGCACGAAGGGAGGAGGCACAAGGCTTAGCTGATGCCCAGAGCTCTGTGAGAGCGGTGGAGAGGATGATAGGGTGAGGATATTGGTTCGTGAGGAGGGTGGCATGAAGAAGGGCATAGCCCCACAGAGAGGAGGGGCAAGAGGCGTGGACAAAGAGGCACCAAGCGATCTTAGTGATCTCCCGAACACGACTTTCAGTCGCACCATTCTGCTATAGGGAGTGAGGGAGAGTGTGAGTCTGGCAAATGCCATGGGAATGGCAATAGGAGGCTACCTGATGGGTACGGAACTCGCCACCGCCATCATAGTGAAGGTGGCGAACGGGGAGACCAAAGTGGGTGCTTGCCTGCTCGAGCCAGGCGGTGATTGCAGCCGACGCAGTGAGCCTTCGTGCGAAGAAGGGAGACGGAGGTGTATGGGCTATGATCATCGAATAGGACAAGGAGGTAGCGATGGTCCTGACGAGTGGGGGAGGGGTTGGGGCCGCACATATCCATGTGGACAAGATCAAGCGGCTGAGCGGCGACGGAGGGGGAACTCCAATGCGTCAGTTGCTTGAGCTTGCCTGGACACAAGTGGAGCACGGGGGGGCGCGGGAGGGAGGGAGAGGAGGAAGGGAGATAGGGAGACCTCAAAGGAGACCAGAGGAAACAGAGGAGCTCAGGGTAGCAAAGTTAGGATGACCTACCCTGTGATTGAGGAGGACAGCGGGATGGGAGAGGGCACGACAGGAACAGGAGGAGTCATGGGGGGCATGGGGAAAGGTTGGGTTGGTGGAGGGGAGGGGAGGGGGGAGGACAAAAGGGAGGGCGAAGGTACAGGAGACGGCCTGAGAGGAGGTGAGGCGGGGAAGCCGAAGGGTGTACAAGCGGGAACGGGGGCGAAAGGGGATACGGGAGAGGAGTCTACGAGTAGTAGTGTGATAGAGTGCACATTGGTTAGCGCGACTTGGAAGATGGTGGTGATACCGGTCTGTTGGAGGGACCTTTGGGAGTAGACATGGGCATAAGCCGAGCCAGGCTCAGCTCGGCTCGTCCACGGGTCACCAAACATCCCTGGCTCGGCTCGCATTTCTGTGGGCGAGCCAGGGCTGGCTCGACAGCGAGCCGGCTCGGCTCGGCTCGCCTAGCACGCGCTTAAGCCTACAGTAGTGCGCGCTTGAGCCTACGCAAGTGCGCGCTGTTAAAAGTGGCGCGGGCTGCTTAAGATTCATTGCGCTACTCCTAGGCACGCACGGAATTCTAGGGTTTGCGGAATTGACGGAAAGTAGATTGTGAGGAGGAAGGAGGGTGTTAGAAGATAGGTTGGAAGTCGTAGATGCAATAGTGTGCAATGCGGTTGAGCGAGGCAAAAGGGTTTGATGGGTTTTTTGGTTGTCAAAGTTTGGGATTGCGACTTGGCGCAATGTCTGGTTGAATTCGCCAGGTCGCAAGCAATGTCGTGGGAAAACATTCCGCGTCAAACATTTTGGGTGGGCGTTTAGCGTTTACCATTTTAACGCAGCTTTTAAACGCTAAACGCTGCCCTGCTAGAGCGTTTGCGGTAACACAGTCGAGGAGTTGTTGGCGGGAGAGACAAATGGGGAGACTCGTTTGAAATCGAGTGGCGAGCCACGTGGCTCGAAATCGAGCCGGGGACGAGCGGGCTCGATCCCGGCTCGACGAGGACATCGTGGACGAGCCGAGTCGAGCCGGATCCCAAAAAGAAAGGGGAGGGTAGAACGGTCTCGGTGGCTCCACTGTCCAGGACAAAGTCCAAGGTGGAGGGGAGTGAAGGTGAGGGAGGAGGAGGAGAGGCCACATACTATTCAAATGCGGTTTCATTAATAGCAGGGGGATACATGGAAGATTCAACAGACCCAGTCTGACTAAGCAAACCAACAAAGCCAAAGGAGGGAAAGGGGGTCACAGTGCTAGTAGCAGAGGGTGCAGAGGAGGCACCGGAGAGATGAGCAGCAATCGCACCACTCCTGGCAGAGAAGGGCTGCTGCTAAGGAGGCACTGTTGCTCCTGCTGCTGCAACACCTGCTGCTGCACCCTCTGGTGCTGCTGAGGGAGCGAAGAGGTGAGGGCCTGATGGGCCTGGGTAGAGGAGCTGGGCTGATAGACGGGGGAGGTGTGCACCTCGTGGGAAGTGGGGCAGGGAGTGACAGAGGACCAGCGAGGAGGAGTGGGAGTTGCCACGGGCAACCACTGGTCACTGAGTGCCCTTGACGCACGTCTCACTGGCATGAGCGATCTGGCCGTAGTGCTGACCCAGCGGGTGGGGCCATAGTGAGGCAGGTACTGACACGGGGGAAAGGCGGATGTTGCGCCATGCCCAACACGACCATGATGTTAGAATATTCTACCTTCATTCTATTAGCCTACATTGTTACATTGTCTTAGGTACTTATCAGCACCCCACTAGGGCGTATACACCCAAGTTGGGGGTTGGACTCCCAATGATTGGAAACCCCAAATAATCCCAACCAAGATTATTGGACCCACCAATAATCTTGGCTAGGATTATTGGACCCCCAATAAGTTGGCCAACCCAACTTATTAGGGTGACCAATAATCGTGGTCACCTCCCAACCAAACCCCCCCTCCTACTCCTCACCTCTGTATACCCGCTCCTTTCCCAATACAATGACCTACTTTTTACTGTCACGATTTCTCACACACGACCCACAGCCTCACCGCTTCCACCACCACGCCCACTCCTGCCGCTGCGAGTCTGAGCTACTGCCGCGGAGGAGGAGGGCTGGTGAAAGAGCTCGGCCTCGGTGTTGATGCTCCACTGCACTGGGCAACCTTGGCGGGGGTGTGGTGCTGTGAGATCAGCCGCATGTAGGCGAGCTTGTGGGCATCAATGGCGGGCGAGACTCTTGAGGAGTTGGCAGCAGAGGTGCATCGAGGTAAGCTACGTCAAACACGGCAAGACGACGGGCAAGATCGAGGACGTGGCGGGTGAATGCAGAGGCGCGAGTGGTGGAGTCCATAGTGAGGGAGTTGAACTCCTTGATGAGGGAGTAGAGGGTGGCAACATCCTGATGATCAAAGAGATTGGCCAGGAGCTGCCACGGGTGGGAGGAGGAGGTGGGAGCTTGAGGGAGGAGAGAATGGTGGCAAGGAGGATTGCAAGCGCTCGACGATCAGGGACATGCCAGGCGGCTATGCTGGTGGTGTAGGTGCGCAGGTGGGTAGTGTAGGTGGTGAACTCCTCCTGGTACGCGACATAGCGTGCGACTGCGAAGTCGTAGTCGGCCTTGGCGGCTTCGTAGATCAGCCGCAGGCGGAGGTGCTTGATGAGGCTGTTGCAGTAGATGCGGATGGCAATCTTGGCGCCCTGAGCACAACTGCTTGAACACAACGGCTTTCACGTTGTAGCCGCCAACCACCACCGAGGAGAGGAGCACCTTGACCGACTGGGCTTTGGAGTGCCGGTTGGCGGCAGTGTTGTCGGGGAGGAGTTCGAGTGCGTCAACCGCGGCAAGGTTGACGGGCGAGTCGGAGGATGCCATGCCGGGGGAGGAGTGAGAAAGAGGAGGGGAGGAAGGAGGGAGAAGGAGTGGGAGGAAGGAGGGAGAAGGAGTGGGAGGAAGGAGGAAGGAGGAAGGAGGAGGAAGAGGAGGTGAAAAGAGCAGGTGCGCAGAGCTCAGCTCTTAAGCCGAAGGCGCTGCACAATGTGTAGCATTTGAGGATGCGGTGCAATCGCGGGCGTGGGCACCGGCGAGAGGCGCAAGCTCGGACACGGCGGCGGCAGATGCAATGGCAGCGAGCAATGGCGGACGCGGCGAGCGCGGCGACGGGGGACACACCTGGGAGGGCGCATGACGGGAGTGCGATGGAAGGAGGCGCGACGAAAGTGCGTGCGGCGGGAGGGCGCTCAAAAGGATGGTTTAGGGTCGGGCGGACACAATGGAAGGGTGGGACGGGAGGGTGCGCGACGGGAGGGCGCGAGGGAGGGCGCACAACGGGAGGACCCAAACCACTCTCTCACATACCAACCCATGCCTAATTCGCCAACACCCAACCTATCCCTCCCAATCCAAACCTCATCTCCTTAATCCCTCTTTGCGCACCCAACCCTACTCGATTTTCTGCCAACACCTAATGCAGATCTTGAAGTTTTTGGAGCATGTGTCTCTCGAAGTTTTGAACTGTTGGAATGCTTTTCCCCTAAGACCAGAAATGCGATTTTTAAATTCATCGCATGCGATTTTTAGAAACATCGCACTGCAAAAACAATGTGCGAATAACAGTTTCATCGCACGATGCGATTTTAAGTCGCATTGCTTTTTTTTTTGTCGCCCCCATACGCGATGCGATTTAAATCGCAATCGCGTTTTGATCATGTCTAGTGCCAACCAAAGGACCAGACCAAATCCAATGTTCACCCCCCAATATGTAAAATAGCTACACCTATTCTAACCTATGTATGTTGTTATAAATATGTAGTATATATACATCACAACAGTTACATAGCATGGCATAGGATGGCATGCGTGCAGGTGTGCAGCAGAGTGGTGAAGAAGGGCACTCGGGTGAATGTCACTCAGTCTTCCAGCAGTGGGGAGTGCTCCTCCTGGTACTGCACTGCTCAGGTCAGTCGGTGGGAGGTTCAAGGGGATGCATGATCATGCACCAGCTGCATGCATTTGCATACTTCGGGATGCGTGCACGTGTGATTGTGGACTCAAGCACATCTATTGTAAATGTGTGGGCATCTGTTACTTGACATGCATTCCTGCATTTGCGCATGTGCATGCGTTGCGGTACCCTTATTAATGCGCAACTGTGCACCTCTTCCCACCACCCTCCCCCCCATCAGGGCGAGAGCTGCTCATCTCTGCAGGCCGCGCTGTCGCTGGACGCCTCCTCCCTGGCTCTCTTCAACCCGGGCCTCGACTGCTCCTCGCCCCTCCCTTTACCCCCCGCCACTACCGTAAGCCACAATGCTTCCCCTTCCCCACAGCCCTGACTCTCCCACGTGTCTGCTGCAAGGGTTGCCCTTCAACCTCTGCTGCTCACACGGTTTCCTCCCACTTGCACTGCATCATGCTTTCTTCCCCTTTCGCTCCGTGTTCTCCCCCTCCCCTCCACCCCCCCCGCCCACTCTCCCCCGTGCAGGTGTGTGCATCCACGGGTGGCAGTGCCCCCACAGCCTACCCTCTCTGCACGCGCTGGGTGCTCTCTGCTCCAGATGACACCTGCGCCTCTCTCGCCGCCCGCCTCGCCCTCTCTCTGCCGCTGCTGCTCGCCCTCAACCCAGGCCTCCTCTGCTCCAACCTCCCTGTCCGCACGCCCGCCACCCTGCCCTCCTTCGGGGAACAGGTCAGTAGAACTCTAGTGTATGTTGCTTCATGGTAGCATGTGGCCCACTGGAAGGGAAGTGGGAGTGGGGGGAGGAAAGAGGGGTTGGGGAATATGAGTTTGTTGCTGTTTTTGTCTTCATCGTGATACGACAGCTTGTGCACTCATGGTGGATTGACTACCTTTTTGCAGCCCCAAGCAGCATCGTGTTTCCTCTCCCTCCATGCAGGTGTGCGTCAGCCAAGCCCCACCAAGCCTCGCCTGCGCCGAGCCCAACTACCGGTTCGAGGTGGTGGCTGGGGACACGTGCACGGCTCTGATTGCGCGGCGGTTTGGGTGCGTGGAGGCCCTGCAGAACCTCAACGCGGGGCTCGCCTGCTCTGACCGCCTGCTGCATGTGGGGCTCACCCTCTGCGCCCCGCCAATGCCCTTAGAGGCCTGCCTCGCCCTCAAGGCTCTCGCAGCCTGACTGACCTTGACACCTTTTTGTTCATGGGAAAAGCAATGGGTCTCTCTGCTGTCCCTACTGACACTAAATGTAGATTTTTTAAGTGTTACACTTTTAAAATTGCGCATTGTGTACGCGAATGCTTGTGATGCAATTTTTGGCATCGCCGAAGCTGCTTCTCCTACTATATAATGTGGTTGGAGGACATTCTTCCTCCACCCACGTCTTTTCATTCTTCACAGCTCAAGTCCAATTGAGTTCCCATCCCGATTTTTTTGCTCCACCACTCCGGCGAAGTTGAAAACTCTCCCTCGCGGACAAGCCCCCTCTATCTCCTCGCCGATATTCTTGAGCATAACTTGTCTGCCATGGCTCCCTCCCAACGCCTCGAATATTTCGGAGCCCGACAATCATGCCCACGAAATTGCGGGCGATCGCAACAAGTGTCGGGCAGACGAAGGCAAAGTTGCCCTCGAGCTGCTACTGTGCAGTGGCGAGGTCAACCCCGTTGACCCCAAGAAGCCACGCGCCAACCAGCAGCCAACTGCAAATGGTGGATGGCGCACCTCCCGCTCATGTCAGCGCCGAGAAAGTGCCGAACCGACGGGCGGGCTCCTCGCGTCACAACAAGCGAGGCCGCGGGGCGGCCTCGTCCAGCGTGCCAGACCAAGTCCAGGCACGATTGGCATTGTTACAGCAGCAAACGCCCCCCGTTACGGCAACTGTGACTTCTATTTCTACTTCGACTAATAATGAAGTAACAAACAAGGGATCAATTCGCCACGCTCGCCCGCCCAAGATCGCCCGCACCGACAAGGAAGTTGTCGTCGTAGCACCCAGACCAGGCCAACGACAACAGTGACTCCGAAGACGAGGCTGGTGAGGCTCTCGGACACAATTTTTTCACACGTATCGAGTGTTAGAATGCTAGAATAACTAGAAAGAGAGCGTACAAGGGAATATAGGCTAGTGTGTTGTACCCTCTAAAGCACAAACCTGTGAAATCTACAGTAACATACTAAGTTATGTTTGACGCACCTCCTAGACTATATAAGGGCAGTACCTAACAGGAGAACAGGCAGCACAGGGCGACACTACTAGTCCAGCCTCTGAGGCAAGGATCTAAAGACCAGTCAGACGAGTACAGACATAAACAAGAGCAAAACCAGGGTGGAACTACTAGTTCAGCCACTGGGAGAGGCCACAAGGCCAGTCACGGTTTTATATATATATACATATATATATGTATATATATGAATATATATGTATATATATAAATTTATGTACACAATCAAGGCCCTAGCAAATGAGAGGCTACAGGAACAAGACCAAGCTATACATAGTTCCGCTGATGAACTTAAGGCGCAAGCGGTTTCGTAAAGATATCAGCTGTTGGCTCGCGGGCCTGGCGACGCTGCTGTAGCTCGCGCCAGAGGAAGTACCGCAACTGGATGTGCTTCGCTCTGCCTTCCAGTCGAGGCTCCTGACACAGGAGGATCATGGCCCTGTTGTCAGCGTACAGAACCGGGGCAGAGCTAGGCCGCTCACCTAAGTCAGTGAGCAAGAAGGTCAGCCAGCGGAGCTCCTGTGCCGCCATGGCACCAGCGTAGATCTCAGCCTCGCAGCTGGACTGGGCAACAGACGAGGAGCGGGTAGCTCTCCACGAAACAGCACCTGAACCAAGGCTAAAGTTGTAGCCCTACGAGGACCTGAGGGTCTCAGCGTCGTCTGCCCAAGAAGCGTCTGTGAGCCTAGTAAGGACCACTGGCCTGCGTCCTCCCAGCACTAGCTCCATGCCCGATGTACTTGCAAGATAACACAAAACCCTTTTAGCGGCAGACCACTGCTGTGGTCGGTGTCTGTTTGTGGCCACAAAGCGAGCCAGAGTGCTGAGAGGGTATGCGAGTCCTGGGCGAGTGCAAGTTATCACGTACATGAGGTAACCCACCAACTCTGCGTATGGACCACTGGACTCTACTGGCTCCTCAGGAACAGGAGCTAAGAGCCTGTGGTCCACTGGCAGAGGTGTGGGCTGTGCGGAAGAGAATTGAAGACCGAACAGCTGAAGGACCCGGCGCACTAAGTGTGACTGTGAGAGAATAATGAGCGCGCTACTCTGTCCCTGGAGATCTGCAGGCCAAAGTAGTGACGCAGTTCTCCTAGGTCAGTGTAGGTGTGTCTTTTGTAGCAGCTCTTCCTTCACGAAGGCCAGCGCGTTTCTGTCTGCAGTAGCGAAGGCCGGGTCGTCTACGTAAACAAGGATGTAGAACGGGATCTGGCCAGCACGAACGAAGACCGAGGGGTCGGCAGAGGACGGAAACAACTGCAGGTCAGCTAGGGTAGCACGTAACGTGTAGTGCCACTCACGGGGCGCCTGTCGCAGGCCGTGGACTGGGCGCCGCAGGAGCCACTAAGTCCCATGTGGCAGAGCCTGCCCTGCGACCCGCCACACACTGCCCGGACCCACATGGGTTGATAGTGTTCACACAAGGACTCAAGGCTGGGGGGGGGCGCGGGTAAGGGGGTTGTGATCATGAGGAAAGAGAGCACCGTAGTGGGAGTTTGCCTCATAGCGTTGGCATGGCACGGTGCATCTAACAGTCAGGCAGCAGCAACTCACTGGCGATGGCAGCAGCAACTCACTGGCGATGGTGGGGTAGGAGGCGGGCGTGGCATGCATGTTGCAGACGCCATCCCCGCCAGCCATGGCGATGCGCATGTGGCCGTGCTCGCCCCATGCGTCCCCCCATGAGTTGCGCACGATCCAGTGCGGCGTGTCCCCTGCCACGCTCTCACTCGCCAGGCTGTACCCCACCACCGCCACCGAGTGGTCCGGCAACCCGCTCAATGCACACCCCTGGTCCGAATACACTCCCTGGGGGAAGGGGGGGAGGATTGGTAAGCGCAGGTAACTCGAGAGACTCAGCATGCCCACCACATGTGTTGGTCTCGAGCGGATGAAGATGGGGATAGGTGAAGAGGGGGTTGAGTGGTGAACGTAAGCGGAGGGTTTTTTGTTGGAATAGCTTTGTAAACCAGAACGCTCAACAACGCTGTGCAGTTGCCCCACCTAACTCATGGAAAATCCTTAAGCACTGTGTCTCTGTTTCATCGCTCAAGACGAGCTGTGTGTATAAAATTTTATGCACACCGCACGTCGCAACTGCGAAGACCGTAAACTAGGTTGCGTGATACGCAATTTTCGCCGAGCATGTAGTGTATATACGATGCGTATATACACTGGATGTGGGCATGAGCACAGCATGGCTCGGCTCGGCTCGTTTTGGGTCGAGTCAAGCCGGCTCGCCGTGTTTGCCAGCTTTGACTAGGTCCGCTGCGGGGGATTGAGTTTGTCAAGCCCTTCATAAACTCCTAATCTGGTCTAAATGGTGCTTAAAAACTAGCTAAGGCGTGCACAACGTGCGAACGATGGAGTTGCTGGCTAGGGTTAGTGGAATTGGGGATGGCGTGGTACTAGTCTGTGAGGAGTGTGTTTCGTCTATCTACAAACTGTACCCACGCGAACCCCCCCAAATCCCGAGGCGCGATCCATTGGCTCGAAATTGAGCCAGGGGCGAGCAGGCTCGCCCCGGCTCGCTGTCAAGAATGGTGACAAGCCGAGCCGGGTGTGGCTCGGCTTCTGCCCACGTCTAATATACGCTATACGAACATGTATACACAATACACTTGGCGGAACATTTTGGGGCAACCTGTCGAAAAATTGGTGAATCCAACCATTATGTCGCCAAATCGTGACTCCCAACTATTTTCGCCCAATACCAACTTCTAACTTGACCCCCCCCCCCCCCCTCACTGCACTTACACCCATTGTATCTAGAATCTAGAAAGCCCAACACCAAAACGCCTCCTAGACCTTACCTCACGCTAAGACTGCATGGGTGGTGTGCTGGTGGCGTCCTAGACTGTTAGGCGATTAGATGGGTGGGTTAGTAGAGAACGCAGCTCGCAATTTTGAGATTACTTGGAATTTTGGACCAAATGGTTGAAATTTCACGGCCAGCGCGACAAGGGTCGTGTCGGGTACACCTTAAATCTCGTTAAAATAAAGTGTGTATGTCAGGACGGCTACGTTTGTTTTTAGCGGAATGTGATTGTACGTGACACAGCGCGGAACCGACCGTCGGGGGTATTTCTCGAGCACCCGAAGATGTAGTGGTGTACTCTGGAGTGACGAGTGTTTGGCTCCACTGAGAGGGTTAACCGGTAAGGAGATTTAATACACTGGAAGGGTCGCAACAGCCAAAAAGACTCGCGCACTAAACCAAATGTTGTTCCTCTACCGAATGTTTAGGTGACGCTGTGGAATGTGTTGAAGTTCGTTTGGAGATCCTGGGGCATGTCAGAGGGACGGGCTCAACCCATTCTCGTCTGTGGTTTTTCCCAGACTAAGCCATATTTGGTCCAGAGCAATGTGAAATTCCATTTCACATTAGCAATGTATTCGCGCAACCCGAAATCGGGTCCGGTTTACCCGACTCGACTTCGGGTATTTTTCTTTCTGGTAGCTAGCATAGATGGCTATATCGCATCGCATCGTGCGATATAAGTATCGCGCGATGCGATGCGATATAGTAAATCGCGCGATATTTTTATATCGCGTTTATATCGTGGGTTTTCCCCTGCAATATATTGTGGTATGTGCTATGTTTATATCGCATGCGATATTTGTGCCATATCTGTGCGATATCTATGCGATATCTATGCGGTATCCGTGCGATATTTTAATATAGCATGCTCTCTTTAGGGCCTGGAAACGGCATTTAAACCATGCAAAGCGATATTAAATGTGTTGCGATGCGATGTTAAATCGCGTAGCGCGATATATGGCTCTTTTTATTGCGATAGAAAAATATGTCGCACCAGAAATGCGATATGCCATACCCGTTTTTGAAAAGTTATATCGCAACGATGCGATATAATATCGCGCGATAGAAAGCGCGATAGCAGCAAGTGTGATTAGGCTTGAGCAATGGGTCGGGTCGGGTCAAGTAACCCCACTCGAACCCGACTTTTTGACGGGTCGGGTCGACATTTGCGGAGGGTCGATGTCGCATGACTCTTGGTAACATAAAAGTACCAAGAATGCATGGGACAACACTGAAGTTTGTGGGTAAGAAGAGAGTGTAGCTTTGCTTGTATACAGTATTATGCGGTTTTGGGATTGGTTGTACAGTACAAAATTCGGGGATGGGAGGTTGGAGCGGAGGCCGACAGTTGGGATAGTGGGTGAGCTGACGTCATTCAGGTCAGCAGGGCTGAGAGCGACGCGGTGAGCAGGCATGCAGAGAGGGGATTGGAGCAGAGATGGCGCAATTACTGGGAGCCATCACGGAGGAGAAAACTCTGAAACGGCACGCGGCTTGAGTAGTTGGGAGGGATGGGTTTGGCCCAGGATGTCTCCTCTAGTGAGGGAGAACAAAACTCAGGCTGAGCGATTGCTTCATCACTTTGTTTGTTCTCTCGAACACCGTGGGAAGACTTGTATGCCTTGTTGCTAGTGGAAGCATTCCCGGGCAAATGTTAGATCCACGATGAGAGGATACATAAAGGAGAGCCAGGGAGACGAGGGGATAGTGAGTGGACCTCGGGATCTTTTCCTACAAACAAAGTCATGGCGGGCATGTCGCTTTGTAGTGGCGTGCGGTTACCCAAGGGGGACGACTCGTCGCCGAGAAGGGGGGGGCCTCCGGTTGATGAGGGAGGAAAGCATCCGGAATCGCCTGAAGCAGGGCTCGCAGGAGATCGTGAGGAGCCGAGCGGGGAGGGCGTTGACCGCGGAGCGGCGCATCGCAGCTCCGACAGTTTCGCGATGCGGGCGGATCGCCGAACGGAGGGAGTCACTTCCGAGGCGGGGGAGGAAACTGCAGGGGCTCGCTCCAAGAGAGCGACGAGCAGGGGAACGGAAGATGCCCCCGAAACAGGGGTCGGTGTGGCGGGTTGTGAGAGGCGCGGGAGCGGCGCCCCAGCAACGAGCAGTTTCGGGCCTGGAGGATTTTCGCGTCGATCCGCGTGGGAAGAGGGAGCGCGATACCGCTATACGAGTCTCCCGAAGGTGGAGGTACCAGCGCGATTTACTGGAGACCAGGAGGCAGGTCCGCGGCTGAAGACTTACGCTATGCATGTGCGGAGTGAGAAATTCTGCTGGGAGCAAGATGGCTTGGATCTTCGCCATTTCTTCCGGTCGCTGGGTAACACGTTAGCAGGGGATGCTGAAGCCTTCTTTTTGGAGGTTCGCGACCTGCTGTTGCAGGAGGAGGAACGAGATGCCTTCGGCAAGGTACGGCGCGATGAGGAGGGCCAGATCCTGCGACTGCGGGACCCCACCGAGCGATTTCTGGCAGAGCTGCAGGAGCACTTCCCAACACAGACGCCGGTGCGGCTGAGAGAGTTCGAGCAGCTCCGAAGGGCCCCGCGGGAGTCGCTACTGGCTTACTACTGGCGGGTGGATCAGTTGGCGGAGGATATTAGCTGCCATGAACCGCGGATCGTGGTGGCTAAGTTCTTGGACGGCTTGACAGGAGATCTCGCTCGCACGGCCCGGGATCACACCTACAATCTGGGGCCCAACGCGACCTTGCGTCAGGCATACGAAATTGCTTGGCGAAACGAGCAATTGCTGAGTATGTACGACCTGGGGAAGTGGACGGAGCGGCTGGGTCTACGAGACCGAGAGCGGCGAGGGATCGCATGGGGAGGAGCGATGCTCGCGGGGAGTGAGGGCGAAGAGGAAGGGAGAGGGGAGACCTGCGGATACAAAGGAAAGCCGCACCGGACTCGCAGTGCGACCCCGCCTTCTGGCGAAGAGCCGGTGTGTTACAAATGTCGAGAGCCGGGACATTTTAAGCGGGACTGTCCTAAGCTGCAGACATGCGCGTACTGTCAGAGGAAGGGGCACTCCATCGACAACTGCTATACCAAGCAGCGGGAGGAGAAGAACAAAGGGGGCCGCCGGAGTCGGATTGAGGCACTGGAGGAGGAATTGAGGAAGCTGAGAGCCGCCGAAGAAGAGGCCAGCGAAGAGGAAGAGGACCGGGCGGCGTTACTGGCCAGTGCTCTGCCAGGCGGGGACAAGGAGAAAGGGGAGCCGTTTTTCATGGCGACGGGGAATGAGCGGGACCGGGAAGTCCTGGGCCTGCGCAGCGGGGGAGCTGATGGAAGACGGTCGGCGGCGGTTACCCGCCGAGGGCCACGGGCGGGGGAAAGGCAGCCCATGTCGCAAGCAGCGGCAGGCGCCAACGAGACGATGGAGCGAGCTGGGGGCAGGCACGGTCCACACCGACACCCTTTTGAGCGCATGGCGGCACGGCCCTGTGTGGTGGAAGCGAGAGAGGGGGCGGTAGCAGTGGAGGGGAAGTACCCGGGAACAACTATCATTGACACCGGAGCGTCGCAGGTGCTGGTGGGTCGACGTCTGGCAGAGAGGCTGGGCCTGCACCGGGAGGAAAATGTGACACCCGAGGGAGTTCGGATCCAAACTGCAGAGGGAGGGGCGGGCAAGTGGTTGCCAAGGACGCTGAAGGCTGAGGAGGTGGTGCTGGCCCCAGGAACCGAGGATGAGGCCAGGATTCGAGTGCACTGCCTGGTGTATGATTCAGATGACTACGACCTGCTGCTGGGGATGGAACTCTTGTACAAGGTGGGGGCAGTGGTGGATACTTGGACTGAGAAGGTGACGTACCAACCACGGTACTGGGATCATGAGATCCGACGGGAGGTGAATACTGCAGCCACGCTGCCGGCTCGCTTCCTGAGGAGTCAACCTGAGTACAGGGCCCCGCCAGCTGACAAGGTGCCCGAGCTGAGATTTGAGGATGCAGGAGTGTACCTGGAGCGCACCAGCGAGCGTAAGAGGTGGGAAGCGGCAGCGGGTCCTAATCTGGCCGAGTACCAAGAGGCACGCGGGTTGACCGAGCCCACTTACAACTTCGAGACATTCAACCGGCCGATTACGCTGCTGGAGATGTTTGGAGGCATCGGTCCCAGACTTCCCGCTTCCGTGAGAACGGGGCAGACCATCAAGAAATGGATTTATGTGGAGAAGAACGAGGAAGTCAGGCTCATGGCCTTCCACCATGCTCGCGTGCTGCGCGAGCTATTCCCAGACAAGCTACCGATGGCGGTGGTGGAAGAGGCGGAAGCGGCGGCTCGAGAGGTGTATGACGTCCAAAGTGTTAGCTCACAGACAGTAGAGGGATGGGGACAGATTGACTTACTAGTGGCGGGCTGAGAGTGTCAGGGACTCTCCAGGGCAGAGAGGGGTGGGGGATTAACCGATGCCCGGACAGGGCTGTTCCAGGAGCTCATAAGAGTAATGAAGCTGATCAAGAGAAGGCAGGGGCCGGTGTCGTACATCGTGGAGAACCTGGACGTGGCCGAGGACAAAAGAAGCCTAGTGCGGGAAGCTCACCGACTAGTAACAGGGCAGCTGGGACATGGGGTGGCGTGGGACGCAGCGCAAATGGGATCCAGGACGCATCGGGTGAGGCGATATTGGCAAAATCTGATACCGGAACCGGTCCTGAGAGACCAGCTGGGAAGGATGCAGAGACTGCTGCCCAGGCTAGTGCAAGATATCTTGGAGCCAAGCTGAAGGGCCGCACCAGTCGTCGCGCCAGACATAAAGACGCAATTCCCATGCAATCAGGTGGGGGCACCAAGACAGGCTTGGCCGACTTTGGTGGCGACCCCTGCTAGCTACGCTTTCCGAATGGAAGGGAATGAGCCGGGGCCAGGGATGGTACAGGTGTTGGCGACAGGGCGGTGGGAGGAGCCGTTGGCGGTGGAGAGAGAGAGGGCACTGGGATACATAAGGAATGCGACAGCTGCAGAGGAAGTGTCAGAAGAGGCCAGAAGGAGAGCACTGGGGGGAGCCATAGACCAGCATGCTCTGGTATGGCTAATGTACAGGGCTGAGAAGCGGCAGGAGGTGCTGAGGTGGCAGCTGCTGATGCTCTGGAGGTGGCGGGACATCGAGGAGATGCTGGAGGATGACCCATTGCGGGCCCTGGACGTGGCGGAAGCATGGCAGAGGATGAAGGCAGAGGCCGGAGAAGAGAGACATAGAGGAAGATGAATTGAACCAGAGAGGCATAGCCTTGCTGGCCCGGGCTAGACAGGAAGTGGAGGCCAGAGAGCAGCTGCTGGATGGGAAGGAGGGAGAAGGAGATGTGCCAGTCCCCGTGGACATGCCTGCAGCATGGGAGATGGGAGAAGGGCTTGACGAGGGAGAGAAGGAGCAGCTCAGGGAAGTGCTGGAGAAAGCAAGGGGGGCATTCGCCTATTCACTGGCTGAATTAGGCAAGTGCAGAAGATCAGTCATGGAAATAGAATTGCAGAGTGCAGAGCCGGTGTACCAAAGAGGCGGAGGATGAGCCCTAGGGACCGGGACATTGCGGAGGCAAAATGTACCGAACTACTGGCAGCTGGGCTCATACGAGAGTCAACCTCAGAGTATGCAGCAGCCACGGTGGTAGCAGCAAGGAAGGACCTGACCGGAGAAACATTGGCAAGACGGATGTGTGGTGACTACCGAGGGCTGAACAGGATCACTAAGAGCGACCGGTACCCAATGCCGATGGCTGAAGAGATATTCGACAAACTGGCTGAGGGAACCGTATACTCGACGCTAGATCTGAGACAAGGATTCAATCAAATCCCTATCAAAGAGGAAGACAAGCCGAAGACAGCTTTCCATGGGCCGGATCGGCTGTACGAATGGAATTTTATGCCATTCGGACTTAAGAATGCCTCGGCGAAGTTTCAGCGCGTGATGGATCAGGTGCTGCAGGGAGTCCCTAGAGCATTGTGCTACATCGACGACGTAGTGGTCTTCAGCAAAGACGGACAGCAGCACGTGCAAGACGTGGCGGCTACCCTCGCGGCCATACAAGAGGCCAGACTCACCTGCCACCCGGGAAAGTGTCACTTCGGCGTCAAAACGGTGGCCTACCTGGGATTTCAAGTGGGAGAAGGGGGACTATCAGTACAGCAGGCAAAAGTGGAGGTAGTGGACAGGCTACAGGCGCCAACCGACCGAAGCTCGCTCCGGGCACAGCTGGGCTTCCTGAGCTACTACCGGAGGTTCGTGCCGAACTTCAGCAAGACAGCAAAGCCCTTGAACTGGTTGCTAAGGGAGGATGTGCAGTGGAAGTGGGGAGAGGAACAGGAGGTCGCATGGCGGGCGCTGAAGGAGGCAGTCAAGACAGCCCCTATGTTGAAATTGCCCAACCCGGAAGAGCCTTTCGTGCTATACACTGACTGGAGCAGTAGCGGGATGGGGGCAGTGCTGTGTCAGGAGGAAAGAGGGGTAGAGCGAGTAGTGGCCAATGCTAGCCGCTCATGCAGCCCCGCGGAGAGCAACTACAGCTCGTATGAGGGAGAAGGTCTGGCGGCCGTCTGGGCAGTGGAGCTTTTCCGCCCATACCTGCAGGGCCGGTTGTTCACTCTGGTGACAGATCATCAGCCGCTCATGTGGCTGATGACTAATCAGACGCTGAGAGGCCGCAACGCAAGATGGGCAATGCGGCTGCAGGAATTCGAGTTCGAGGTGAAGCACCGACCAGGAAAGACTTTACAGCATGTGGACGGGCTATCTAGGCAAGGGCCAGGGGCGGGAGAGGCAATCGTCGGAGCCGAGACCAGCCTCACCTGCCTAGCCGTGGCAGTAGAGAAAGAAGGCTGGAACCGGAAGGCGGAAAAAGAGAAGGGCAGCAAGGAGGTGTGGGAGGATACGCCTGTACTGCATTGGGTCCAGGGCAAGGGGCCCGAAGGGGAGGAAGTGCCCGAGAGGGTGAGAGCGCGGGGGATACATTACCGTTGGCAGGCTGACCGGCTGCAGTTAGTAACGGAGGATGGGTGGAGGATTGTACCAAGGCCAGAGGAGCGAGAGGCACTCATTCAAAAGGTACA